CCGCTCCATGGACTGCCATTTTGACTCAGGCCCACAGTGGTGACACCACATCTCATCACCAGCAATGATGTGATCCAAGAAACCTCCACCTTCAGCCTCATATCGGTTCGGTAGGTCCTGACTTGTTCCTTCTGCTCCTGTATGAGCAGCCATGGGACTCACCTGCTGCAGACTTTGTGATATTCCAATGTGCCACCGTTTCCAGTGCACTGAAGCTGATATTCAGCTCTGTAGCCCATTCCCTTGTTGTAACCTGCTGATTCATGGGGATGAGCTGGTTCAGGCAGTCCTCATTTTATGGTGTGACAGCAATTTTGACAACATTTCTTGTCTTGTACATTGCTGTTGCCACTGCTGAAGCACACCACCCACTGCCTCACTGTGCTCACATCTACTGTTTCATCTTCATAAACGTTCACCAAGTGTCAGTTTATGTCACTGGGTGCTCTTTTTTCCAACATGGAGGAATTCAGTGACACACCTGCTTCATCGGCATCTCCATGTCAGATCATTCTGCCAGACCGCCCTTCTGCCATCTGTCACCCAGAACAAAACGTAATGGAGTATAGCTGGGAAGGTTCAACCTCTGCTGCCTTACTGCCGACTTCTGCCCACTGAGACTGTGGACTGAATAATAAAACTGAAGCATTACTTTTGGTGCAGCCCTCGTAGTTCAGTTCAGATAAATGTGGAGTGTTTGCTGATGCTTGTCAGTACCTCACCGGGCATTCCTTGTGGAATGCCACAAGCACAGGGAAGTTAAAAATTGGATGAAATGGTATTCCTCTGAACTTTTCTTGGTTGATGCTGTGTCTTTGCTTTTAAGGTTCAGTTGTTATCTGCTGGGGTTGTCTTCTCTTACCAAGGCCTTTATCTCAAGCTCTCATCTGCTTCCAAGTACAGCTAGCTATTAAGCATCAACTTATGCTTAAGTTATAGTGAGAATAAATTGATCTGTTTCTTGTCTGATAGTTTGATATGTCTTCTCTTTCAGTGAAATGATGAACTGAGAAGATAACTGCAGGTTTTCTGTTTGAAAATAATGAAACACACAGCATCTGCTACGTTTTCACATCTCCTTTTTCTCCTTTGTGATACTGCCTAGTGATTATAATTGAATTAAAGACGTGGAATTGATAGTGCAGGTTTAGAAACAGAAATGAAAAGCAAAACTTGACTATCCTGAGTTTCTGACATAGAAAGTAACTGCATTTTTCTGTATTCCTCCCATGAAAGCTTGCCTAAAAGCAATTGTTTTTTATTAGTGCAATGGAAGGAAAACTATTACAGGTTGGCAGTATTGCCTCCTACGTCTGCCCTTACATCTGTTACAGCAAAGAAACACCTAAGGGATTCTGCTGTGATACCCTGAGCAGTGTTTTACTGCTGGTTTTAATTTCAAAGAGCAGGTATTTGCTATAAACCTACCACTGAAGGGAAGACTTACGGTTGTACTCCTTAATTGTCGGGCCTTCCCTATCTTCAGGCAGAAGTAGACAGTGGTTTTGTGAGGCAGATCTTGAATGAATTTTCATAACAAAATAACTTTTGCTAAATGTTAGAAGTGATGGCGTGGTATTTCTTTTACAGAACATATCTTCCCTTTGGGTTGTTGGATGGTAAAACCTGTGTTGTGGGGGCATGTTTATTGAGAAGAAAATAACATCACTAACAAAAGCCAAAATTAAGTATTTTCCTAGTCAGGTACTACGCTATGATGTGGAGCTTCAGAGAATTGCTGCAGAAGACATCATTTGCCAGGCATTCTCTGTAGACTGGCTCTCCTGTTATAACAAATCTGCATCTTCCTTACGCTTTGAAACATCGAACACTGAGACTTTCTAGAAGAGTTTCATGAATTTTCTAACATAATTTACTTTTACTAATTTACTAAACGAATTACTTCGTTTCCATTGATGGAAAAAAATGAATTGATGCCCTGGAATTCAGGGTGTATTCATTCTGTTGTGTGACAGTCACTTAAGATATTTCATCACAGAAACTTTTCTCTTCTCTGGCAGAGCTTTTATCTCAGTTATCAGGCGTGAGGCGTTCTGCAGGAGGACAGATCAATTCCTCTAGCCCTTCTGCTTCTCAGTTACAGCAGCTGCAGATGCAACTGCAGTTGGAACGACAACATGCACAAGCAGCGAGACAACAACTGGAGACTGCACGCAATGCAACTAGACGCACCAACACGATCAATGTCAACACCACTATTACACAATCTGCAACAACAACCAACACATCTAACACGGAAAACAGTCAGCAGACTATCCAGAATTCCCAGTTTCTTCTTACAAGGTAACTTGTTCTGTCTGCTTCAGCATACGTCCCTTAGCATTTCACTCTTTCTTGGTCCTGCTAGAGTCGGAGTACAGTGAAACTTTGTATACTGTGATTATAAGAAATGTGTGTTAAGCTTTTACCCTTGTATTTACATGTAATTGGGTGTTCATATTTAAATGTTCGGAACTTGCATCATCCGTATTTCTAGTAGTAATTTAATATCCAAGAGTAGCAGTTCATAGGTGACCTGATGGGAATTACTCTGCTTTTGGAAAGCTGGCTGCAGAAATGGCCTTTAGTGCCCTAAAGGTTGCAGAAAGGAGAGACAAACTCACAGCTGCGTTGTATATTTTTTTTGCATCTAGGAATGTATTTAAGAGGTGAATGTATTTAAACAGATGTGAATATGGATTTCTGCAAGCCTTAAAAAGGAGGCTAGTTCTGAGTTTTAGCTGTGTAAGCTACTTCAGGCAGGGGGCTTCTGCCAGATGCCTCATCAAATCTCTTAACATACTGTGCTTTGTTTGGACTGTGTGGATTGTACTGCCTGGTGGGAATCCATAGGTGGTACACACAGAGCGATGTGTTCTGTCGCACGTGTACAGCTAGGCGTTGACCCAGCCCCTAACAGGTATGTAGGAGATTCCAACCTTCCCTAAAAGACTCTCTTAGGTAGCAGGGACCCTTGCTATGGTTTTGTATCTTGAGGGTTCGTTCTGGTTGAAGGCTGTTGTAGTGAGTGGGCAGGGGTTGTTGGCCAGAGGTGCGCAGAGCTGTGCGTGTGAGAAGGGCCAGCAGCAGTGTCCTGAGGGGCAGGGCTCTGAGCGCGCGTGTCAGGAGTGTCGTCAGAGAAGCGGGCTCTCACCAACTGCCTGTCTCCTTTTCCTGCTGCCATACAGGTTGAACGATCCGAAGATGTCGGAAGCGGAGCGTCAGTCAATGGAGAGCGAACGGGCGGACCGCAGCCTGTTTGTTCAAGAGCTTCTACTGTCCACTTTGATGCAGGAAGAAAGTTCCTCCTCAGATGAGGATGAGAGGGGGGAGATTGCCGATTTTGGTGCTATGGGCTGTGTAGATATTATGCCTTTAGATGTTGCTTTAGAAAACCTAAATTTAAAAGAGAGTAATAAAGGAAACGAGCCTCCTCCACCTCCTCTTTGATGACATCCCACTTTGCAGACAATGTCCTCTGTGCTGTATTTGCCAATGAAAGTGGACAACAACTATCTTGGGTTTGTTTTGGTGATTGTAATTTCAGGTCTGTCACTCTTGTTACGTTGTGTACATTAAAAAGAAAGAGAAAAAAGATATATATGATAATCATTTCCACTTAACTAATTTTTACTTCTAGCAGGTAAATGTAGGTTGCGGTGCAGAGCAAAAGGCTCTGTGTCCTGTACCTTGACATGCAAAGGCTCTCCTAATACTCCACATTCAAACTGAAGAGGAAAAAATGAAAAATCTCTAATGAAGCTGCTGTGTGTATTTATGAATATTAATGAATAAAAAATGCTTGGATGGTTTACCTTAACTACTGCATGACGTTTTTTGCAGCGTGCATGAGTTTTAGTGACCTTGTCATTTAAAAATTTAAATACAAGGAAGTAAAACTATAAAACCCAAAGCTTTCCCATTATTCAGAGGTTACCTAACAAAAAGGTTAGCGTGGCTTGTAGCCACAAAGTAGCTTTTGAATAATATGTGACAGAATGACATCTTACGTGCTGTTCTGCACAGGATGGAAACTGCAGTGGGTTGTATTGTCGTGACCAGGGTGTGGCATTTTGCTGTATGTGATCACTCTGTTGCCCTGTCGGCCGTCGCGTCAGTGTGGAGTTGAACTGCATTTTATGCATCCGTAGGAGACACAACAATAAGGCCACTGCTGGAAGCTACTGCAAAGGGCTTTTGTGTGCCCTGAAATCAAATGATGTTCACTTTTGTTTAACGTTTGTTTTCCGTGGTTGTTAATTTTTTTACTGTTAAACATGTTTTATTCAGGTGTAGATGATTCATATATTCACTGTGTTGGTTTTTTTTTTTTTTTTTTTTTTTTTTCTAAAGAAAAAGTTAACCTGGAACATGTTGTCTTAGTTTAAAAAGCCTTTCACAGCCTCGATCATATTTTGAGTTATTTATGTATTCTCTTCATAGTTTGCAGAGACCTGGTAGTATCAGGAGAGCTTGAGGATTTGGATCCCCAGATTGTTCGTATATTGCAAACAAATTATTAATGCTAACTTTAGCACCTTCTATTTATTGTTTCTTTTGGTTACTTTTGCTGGTGTAAAAAAAAAAAAAAAAAAAAAAAAAAAAAAAAAAAAAAGTTTTAAAAGCCTTTTAGTGGAATTGTGCCACCTCTATGCCTATACTGCTAGCCTTCCTGGTCTAAACAAAAAGTGCAGTGTTCTGTGCATCCATAACAGCCCCAAGGCAGGGACAGAAAGAGTGTTTGGTTTTGGCTTTCTTTCCTTTTTTGTTTTGTTCTGTTTTTCTAAATGTAAAGTTAGATTATAAAAACAGAAGTGCACACAGCTTCAGATATTAAATAAAAAAAAAACAAACAAAAATAACAAAGAAACCATAGGTTTATCTCATAATGTCTTCCCAGCCTTTTTCACCTCCCCCCGCTCTCTTTCTCTGTCCATCCATCTCTGCAGCACTGCTAGCATTAGAGTAAACTTACAGACATGAACGCCGGGTGGTGTTCCCAGCACAACTGTGACGTGTATGCTAATCCAAAATAACTGCAGCAAAAGAAGTGACCCTGTATACTGACTTCAAGTTCATCTTCTTTTTTTTAAATCCTCAAATCCTGACTGTTTCCCCCTAGAGCAGTACTAGCTTTGTTTTCTTTTAGTCTCTGCAACAGAAAATGTTTGGAGGAGAACTTCACTTAAGCCCTCTGGTTATCCCTAAGGTTACCCCAACTAGGGATTTTTTTTTTTTTTTTTTTTTTTTTGATTGATTGTTGAGGATTTTCAAAAGATTTTCAAGCTGTAGTCTTTACAACCACATCTTCTGCGCATTACAGTAAGACACACGGTTCAATAAAGCATTTTCAAGACTGTTACTCTCTTGATTTTCTTTGTTGTTGATGTGTTATGCACAGTTTTGCTCCAGAATTTTCTGAATTGTCAACTGTGGCTGTATACGAGGTCATGTAGAAGTGCTGGGCAATTCATGTGCATGCAGTTAGCAACTCGCACACTGTGGCAGATGAAGAGGGCTGCAATCCCAACCTCCCCACAGGTAGGTGGATCCAACTTTGCTTAAGAAAAAAGTATGCGTAGAGCAGACTCTCCTCAGCGTGAGCCCTGACTGCGTGTGTGGCTGCTCTCTTAACATGAGCATCATTTCTGGACTCCACTGAGGGGGTGTAAACCAATATTGTCTGTGCTCAGAAGCAGAGCAGATGGAGACCAGCAGTTAAAGGTATGCCTAGGCAACGCCCATAACCAGTGGGTTAAAAGAAAACAGTCAACCACCTCCTACCATCTCAGGCCAAGGAGTACGCTTGGAGTTCAGTGGAGCCTGTGTATTCATCCATCACTATTATTCACAGACTCTTTAAATGGCAAAGAGATGCGCTTGAAGGGTGGGGAATTGGTTGGAAGGCTGCAGCCAGAGCGTTGTGTCGGTAGCTCGATGTCCAGGTGGAGGCTGGTGATGAGTGGTTTCCCCAGGGCTCTGTCTTGGCACCAGTGTGCTTCGGCGTTTGTATCAATGACGTGGGATTGAGCGCACCCTCAGCAGTTTGCTGATGGCTCCATGCTGAGCTATACAGATACAGATACAGTAGAAGAAAGGGATGCCATCCAGAGGGACCCAGATGTAATTAAACAAGGCCAAGTGCAAGGTGCCGCACTTGGGCTGAGGCAATGCCAGGGATGAGCACGAACGGGGGGAGCTCCTTGGGAGCAGCCTTGCCAAGGACTTGGGAGTCTGAAACTGACATCAGCCAGCAGTGTGTGCTTGCAGACCAGAAGGCCAACAGTGTCCCGGGCTGCATCAGCAGAGGGGTGGCAGCAGGGAGGGAGAGGGGATTGTCCCTCTCTGCCTTTGTGAGGCCCCACTTGGAGTACTTCATCCAGGTATGGGAAAGATATGGAGCTCTTGAAGGCGGTGCAAAGAAGGCCATGAAGATGTTCAGAGGGCTGCAGCCTCCCTTCTGAAGACAGGTTGAGGGAGCTGGTCTTGTCCAGCCTGGAGAAGGTTGTGGGGAGACCTCATTGCAGCATTCCAGTATTTAAAAAGAGATTTATAAACATGAGGGAAATGAATTTTTTTTTACGTGCATTCATAGTGATAGGACAAAGAGGAATGATTTTAAACTAAAGGAGGTAAGATTTAGATAGATAGACAGGGAAGTTTTCACTCAGGATGGTGAGGTGCTGCAACAGGCTGCCCAGAGAGGTGGATGCCTCATCCCTGGAGGCTTTTAAGGCCAGGTTGGATGGGGCCCTGGGCAACCTGACCTAGTACCTGATCTAGTGGTTGGCAACCCTGCCTGCAGCTGGGGGGCTGGAACCTGATGATCTCTGGGGCCCCTTCCAGCCCAAACCATTCTATAAAACTGGTGGAAGTGCTTACAAAGGTTTTGAATGTGCAGCTTCACATCTGGGAAACAGCGCTTTGCTGGGCCCATCATCAGCTGAGTTGTGCCTTGAGCAGTGGCACACAGCATTCCTCACACTGCTGGCAAGGAAGCAGTTCAGCCAGATGTTGGTCCAGAGCAAGCAAGACTGCAAATGAGTGCGTTTGGGACAGGTGGAAGGCACGTTTTCATTACCAAAATAGCAGCTGAGATACATAGGCTTATTTGATGGTGCAAGGGAAGCAAGTCAGCAAGCTGAGTGTCCACTGGCAATTTGGAATTCCACCATCTTCTAATCAGGATGTGTTTTAAACTCCTGTGATCTGCTTTAATCAAGAGCTTTTTCTGTTTCACTTCCTCTCCTGTCCTTTACCCTGGCCCATCTGAGCCTCGCTTCACCCACATAAATAGGATGTGCAGCTGACTCCAACTGTTCTGTCCTCAAAGGCTGTTGGGGAAATGCAAAAGGAGAAATGTAAAGGAAAACTGTAGCTGCTGGCTTGGGCTTTCACTAAAGGTCTTACACCCCCAGCCAGGTGCCACGGTCAAGCAAATATTATCTACTGTGGCTTTGCAGTCACATCCGCCTGCTCCCTCAGCACTTGTAGGCACACCCATCAGGGCCCACCGTACAGTTTGCTCAACTGACCCGATCCTCTTACAGCAAAGATGCATCTTTCTTGCTCCAGCCCTTCAGACTGGCCTCTGGGACCAAGAATTCCTGAGGGTCAGTCTTGCTGCTAAAGACTGAGGCGAAGAAAGTAACTTTCTCCCTGTGTGAGAAGGCTCTGCTTCAGCAATGGGCTCATGTCTTCCTCAGTTTACCTTCTGTAACAGACGAACAGTGACAAGCTCTTCTTGCCTTCCCTTGTTAGATTCAACTCCAGATGGGTTTTAGCTTTCCTAACTCCAGCCCTGGATGCTCTGTGCTCCTCCCATCTTACCTGTCCTTACTTCCACCCCCTGGGTACTTCTTTCTTATGTCTGCATCTGGCCACGTGGTCCTTGCTTATCCATGCAGACCTGACATTTTTCCCTTCTCCTGGGGATGCGGTGCTCTTAGAGCAGATGACCTTGATTACTGATAACATTATTGTTCCTCTCATTCCTCCAAGGCTTCATCCCACATCACTTTACCAAGAAACTCCTTGAAAAGCCAGGTCCTGGGCTGCGAGCTTTCTGTGCACTCTCCTCACCCCCTAAAGGATCATGAACTCCACCACTTCATGATCGCTACAACCAAGGCTGCCTTTGACCTTTACATCCCCAAGGAGCCCTACAGTGGCCACACGCAGCACCTCTGCTGACAGCCCAGCCCATGATGAGACTGACAGCTCTCTGCCTCCAGCTCACACTGCTCGAGGCTCAGGAGAGCTGGACTCCACTTTGGGGGCCTGTCTCCTCTTCCCTGTGTCTAGCCCTTCATCCATTGCCCCTACCCTCACCAGGGGTGTTTCTCCGTTGCTGCAGTGCAAGGACCAGCTTGTTGCTGTTGCAGGAGGCTTCAGGGTCTCTGCACACCCCAGTATCACACATGACACGCATACGGGCCCCATCTCGCTCACTAGCTGTTGTCTTCTCATAAGCAATATTCGCTCACAGCTAACACTGCCTGCCTGATCCCTCCTCTTCAGCCCTCCCACGCTGAAGAGCAAAGCCACTTATTAATGCAGAAAGGAAAGATAATTGTTCCCATCCATATCAGCAGAGCGTTTTTTTCATGCTTTGTTACCTCTAGAGCTAAACTTCCATTAGCAAGACTAAGTTCTGTTACTTTCACAGGTCAGCCTCGGTCTTTCCAGAAGCAAAGCATGCAGGTAGTTTGTTCTGCAGTGGCTGACTGTAAGTGTTCTTCAAAGGCAAGGCTCACATTATCCGCATTCTTCCCACTCTGCTGAGGTCTGTGCTAAGCAGTGACTGAGTATAAAGGCTGCTACCAGCACCCATCATCGCTTACTGCAAACGACACTTCAGGCTCCAACTGGAAACTTGATCAGGAACCGTGTGTTGTGTCAGTTTCAGTAATTCAGTACCAAAGAAAGGCAAAACAAGCACTTTTGTTTTATATAAGCCTTTATTTACAACTTGTTTAACAACTGTACACTCTTCTGTACCCTTGGAAGCATTAGTGTATTTGACTGGGAAAAAATATTAAACATTTTGATTCTAATGACCATTACCGAGTATTTTTTTTGTCTATGTACAGATTTGTATATTAATACTGCTACCATGACAATCTGGTAGTTACACAACTCATAGATGAACGGAAATGGGAAATTTATGTTTTGACACTCTATAAATCCAATACTTTACAGAAAATATATCACTGTCAACTTCACAAACAGTTACTTTGATAATTGGTCAACACTTAATTTGGGACTGTCAAACAAGCTGCTATGAAGGAAGTAGAAGAGTTTCTACGCAGCATAAATGAAGTTAGTACACCAGAGACATGCTGGAGGTCACGCAGAGACGTGGCACTTTGCCGCCGCTTCAGTGAACTCAAACACGCTTTGTCAAGCTAAACACAATTACATATAAATGTCTTCAGGCTCAAGAACAACTGATATGTAGTTTCTAACTGCACAGACCACATGGAGAAATGAGGTACAGCTCAGCTTCAGCTTGGGATGCCCTTGCAGGCAGGTGTGACAAACAGCTATCCCCGCACACCCTGTACAGGGCCACCCCGGGCCCGCACCCAGCTCGGCCTGGAGAAGGGTGCTCCCAGCTGAAGCCGTGCTGGCAATGGGAAACAAACTATGCCTCACACACAACAGAAAGGAGGTTTTTCTATAAAGCTTGCCCTGACACAGAGCGAGGGATCGATGGCTAGGACCTGGAGAGATGAAAACCCTTTAGCTCTGCTAGGCTCAGTCCGATGGAAGTGCCGCTGGCACTGCTGCAGGAACGTGTGACACGTCACGGCCCTGATCTGTCCTGCAGGTCACATCAGACGTCACTGCCCCAGGTCCCGTGGACCCGGAAAGACATATCCCCATGTGGGAGTCCCGACGGGTGTCAGCCGCAGGCTCCCTGTCTGCTATGGTGTCTGGCTCGGTGTCCAGGAGGGAACCCAGCACACGCTTCTCGCTGGGATCCTCACACTGGCCCTCTGACTCCCGCAGGTCCTGCTGCAGCCCAACCTGCCCTACCCTGCTGAGGTGGCACGGGGACGGGCTCCTCCTGTTCTCCAGCTCTCTGCTGCAGCAGGCACAGTGCCTGAGGGCCGAGCACCTCAGGTGTCCCAGCACAGGGGTCAGTGAGGGCTGAGCACCTCTGGTGTCCCAATGCGAGGGCGCAGCCTTTCAAGGCCCCAGGTGCCTGCAGGGAGCGACGGGCGCACCGTGTCTCCAATATAGGGTGCTCTGGTGGAAAACAGGGCTCACTGATACACTACTGCCTGAACAACAAGCAAAACTACTCCTGGAGTAAGCTCATGCATATATTTTTGCAGGATTAAGATCCAAGTGAGCAAGAATGGGGTTTCTCAAGAACTGGACTTCAACCGAACAAACTTATGGTTTTCTTCGTTCGGATTCCTTTCTGATGTTGTGGAGGGCCCTATGGCCTCCTCCGACCTGTTACATGCTAACTGCTACACAACAAACACCCTAACTTACACCACAACAGTACTCCCTTGCCTTCTGGATCTTGCCAGTACTGGGCATCCAGCACGGAACAAAGATACAGTAGTACAAATGTGCAGATATTTAAAAATATTAAATAAGCAGCTTTTAAAAATTAATAAAGGCAGCACGAAGCATTTTGAGTTATACTGTCTAAATATTGCAAAAATCTTATAGCTAAACTTCGTAATACAAAGAAACAGCCAAACTAGTGCAACTGGAAATGAAATAGCTAAGACTGCAATAATGAGAGAAAAAAGAAATAGTACAGGGAAAATATAAACAACCCAAATTATAAACTGTCAAGGACAATCTGCATAATACTGAAAGTGTGGCCAGCTTTCACGTTTATCCCCATTCGCGTACTTTCCTTGGATTGTTTAACAATTGTACACAGAGTGGAAGGAAAAAGTTTCTGAAAGAAAGAGACGACACAGCTAAAATATATAGAGAAAAATACAACAGCCATAATCTACTGTGTATGTACATAGTAAGGAAGCAGGCAGTGTCTGTGAACAAAGGACTGCACAGTCGTTTGCCTGTCCCAGAGTTTATCTGCAGAACCTTGCTCGGCTTCCTAAGAAAGATGGGCTGGCCAGGCAGCCGCTCCTCCTACTAACACACCTCCTTGACTTCATTTTTAATTTATTTAAAGATTCAAGGTATATCCTTTAAGGGTGCAGGTGCTTTGAAGTTTTAAGAGTCACCAAAAGGCATTTCTAAGAACTCGTTAAGACTAGATTTTTCTAGTTCAGAATATGCAAATGTTGCAGGAAGTCTGTGTGTTAATGCTGTTAATCGATCAGAATTAAATGGACAGACAGAAGTAAATGTAGAGCGGACAGTGCTCTGTCAGTTTGCAGAACGCCTCCTGTAGAGTTCTGAATACTGGATTTCTGCTCTTTTAGCCCCATAGGAGACTTTTTGTGAAGAGAAAGAGTAAATGGAAGCGGAAAATGGGAAAGCCACTCCCCAGGATGGCAAGCTTCTCTGCAAGTAGATCTCCCTTTGAAATCAGATGCCCGTAAGTGTAGAACTGGTTAAGTTTTGGTTATGCAGTCTGGACAGAAAAGCAAGTAATGCACTGCACAGTCCCTGTTATAATAATGCTGCAGGTCATGCAACCACATCACTGCAAATAAAGAATAAAGAAGAAAAGTTAAAAAGCAGATAACATCATCATTAAAAAAAAAAAAAAGACAACAGAGAACAGTACAGGCATTTGCAAAGTAGCTCAGTAAGGCTGCCTCTCCTTACAGCTGTGCAAATTCATGGGGCAAACATCTTTGCCAGAGCAACTCTTAAATTAACAGGAAGATTATATGTCAAAATTCGAAAGAGAGACGAAATAGCTTTGAACAAAACCTAAATTCAGACACTGTTCAGTAAAATTTAGACCTTTCTGCATAACGTCCTGCAGGGCACCATTCTGAACTAACACAGCTATGGAAACCAAGGAGGCTCTTCTGGCATTCCTGCTGCTTGTAACTAGTTGAAAAAACACAACACAGTATGAAGAGAAAGTTGCCTGTCCGATGCTGTGCCCAGCCATATACTAAAGCGTGATCAGGGTCAGAATGGCTCTGCCTGGGCCTTCCATCTCTGAGCGCCAATGAATACTTTAAACGTTAATTAAAGCTAATCCTGTGCACGATGATCAAACAGCATCAGTGCCATCCTACCCTGGCAAGTTCCAATAATTGCATGCAAAACTAGGTTTTAATAACAAGGATATGGCAGGTATTCTTCTTAAAAAATACACAGAGCAGGTGCCGTTGAGCAGCACTAAGGACACATCATAGTACTGTGTTAATGAAGCTAAGCCTGGAGAACAACCAGATAGGTTGGCACATTGCTCTATCTTTGCTGACAGCTCTTCCTCATGGCAACTGAACTGGAGAGGTGGGATAATTTCACCAACATGGCTATGGTGCTCTCAGATTCCCCCCGTAACACAGCGTGGCACAGCACTAACTAACTGCCCCTTCTCATTTTCACTTGTGGTGATAAGAAAAAGAAAAGTATCTCCACCAAACTGAAATCATGCTATGCAAACTGTTACTTTCCTTTCTTCTTCCACTCTAGAACTGCATGGGATCAAGCATGGTTTAGGACAGCTCCTGTGACAGGAAAACCCAGACTGAGGAATATTTATAGCTAAATGCAAGGACTTACTGAAAAATAACAAAAAAACAACCCCACCCTTCAGCTACAGGTTCTGCAGCCTGTAAATTTGTCTTTTTTTTTTTTTTCTTCTCATCCACCAGCCCAGAACACTCACTGTCGTTGAAAAACAAACAGAAAGATACATACAGAAATCAAATGGAACAAAAATAGAAAATGCTTTAGAAGAGCACACTCAAAGCAGACCTTGAGTGTATATTGGAGTGATTACTGTCTGCTTGAGATGTGCAGTTACACTAGCTGTGCACTGCTTGGCTGAGTGCAGGAAGTTACAGAGTTCAGGATTAACTACACTAATGTTACTGTAGTTAAGTCAATAGAAAAAGAAAAGTTCATCCTACATAAGCATACATCTACTGTGCTATGTATAGATCAGTATAATCTACTTTTTATAACTCACCTTTTATGTGGGTTGCTCCAAAAGTAATGCCTCCTATTTATTTTCACAGAAATGACAACAGATTGAAAGAGTACAATAACACTAATTGATAGAGCACACTCTCAGCTACAAATCACTCTTTTTTTTAGTTGGTCTCCATAAATATTCACCAAGTATGGATGAATGTCAGTGGGTGCCATTTTTTCCATATGAAGGAATTAAGCTACACACCTCTGTTTTACCCACACTCCTGCATTCAGACACCACTGTCTCAGAGTGCTCCTCTGCTGCCATCAGTCACGCAGCAGCAACATGCAATGAGATGCTGATGGGAAGGATCCACCCCTACTGCTCTACTACCAACATTTGCCTCTGATGCCATGGACCAACATCATAAAAACAGGAGGCATTACTTTTGGAGCATCTCCTGTATATTGTTCAGACTTACTGTTCAGCAGTGCTTCAGGTGTCCTGTTGTACATAAATGTGATAGGACAGGCTTTTCTTTGGGACACCAGCACTTCTAAAGAGGTCTTATCAACTTTGGACAGTAAATTCTCTTTCAGGGATGCATCAAATCCCCTGATGCGTTTGAGTGCCATTTTCAAAGCAGTTCTCAGACTGTTCTATAATAACTGCCTGTTGATTTCTTTGTGTCTTTGAGTACCTCTGAAGATGAATCAATACTTGCAGAATCTACCTGTGAAGACAGTAATACTCTAGAAGATGACAAATGTGAAACGTGACAGTACATTCCCTTAACATAACCTGTTGTTTCCTCTGCACTGTCTCCAGGCCAGGTCGGATTATTTTGCAGATGACTTGTCCGCAAAGGAGTGATTTTAATTTTCTTGTCAGTCCAAAATTTTCCAGTTACAAATAACTGAAGGCTCACTGTTACCTTGGTGGATTATTTCTCAGAGGGACACTTCCCTCCAGTGTTCAACATGAGAACTGATTAGCTGTACTTCATTATAAGCAGTCAATCAGTACCTTACAACCTCCTTAGCTTCTCTGTCATCCCGTATTTCTTCTACTCACTGGGATGATTCCAGCACATTACAGCCTCAGAAAGGACAGGAGCTTTCCCTTTCCACCAGCCAGCTCTGGTATGTATCTAGCATGTTACCAACATGCTTCCCTAACAACACTGCTCATACAAAGCAAATACAATCCAAAAAAACCCAACCACCATACCTTATTTCTAAGCAACCATGTTTTTCCTATTCAGCGTACTTTTGGAGCCTTAAGAGGGAATTGGGCTTCCTCACCAATTCGCTGTCTGTAACCAGTATTTTGTAGTATAAGCACCAAAGTAGGAAGAGCACCAAGAGCACCTTTACTTTGAGGTCTAACACCAGACTCCTCCCAAATATTTCTGCTGAGCATCTACTTTAAGTTAACTGCCCCCAGATTTCTCTTTCTGCAGATTTCTTAATGTTACTTACTGGTTACTACCACTAAGGTTTCTTTTTCTTCCTACACGTATTCTTTCTACATTTTCTCCATGTTATTTCCTTTACACATTTTAAAAAGTCCCTCATCACATCATCTTCCAGAGCCATGGCAACATCAGTTCACATTTTTATAATTTCTACAACTACAGAATACAAAGTGGACTATAAACTCTAAGATGTGTGGCATTACAGTGTCATGTTTATTACTATTCGAAGATTTTACTAGTACTGTTAAATACAAATTTTAAGATCTCTCTCAAAACCACTGATACTCTCAAAAATAATTTTGTTCTCCTTGTTAACTCTGCTGACTAAGAACTAAAATCTTTGCTTTATAAAATCTGTACTACATAAGGGATGCTTTATTCAAATCCAAATCAAAAAGTCTAATGGTTTCATCACAAGTATAACTCTCTCTGCATTACTCCATTTGGGATTTTCTTTTCTTCCATGACCATGCTTACAATGCAAGCACGTTAACAAGCTAACAAATGGCCTTTACGTTGATTTTGCTGTCTCTTGAGGTTAGAGATAATTTTTAGTGATTCCAATTCTTCCAATTGTTTGGAGAACAATCCTTATACCAATGGCAATACTTGCTCTTGCAGTATTTCAGATTTGTGCCACGCTACAGCAGTTAACAGCACTTCGAAGTGCTGAAAAATGTTTGCTTTTGAGAAGACTAAATTAACCATTTTGCTCGTTCTGAAATGCGAGGCTCTAACATCACCTGATAGTAAAGAACCTCTCCAGTGTGAAGCAATGAACAAATTCACCAACAGGAAACACTGTCCCAGCTGTCCTAGCAATGCTGTCCCAACTTTCCTTCTTCTAGGAATGTTCTTCATGTAATACAGCTCATTCTCTGAGATTCAACAGCAACGAGAGCATTTTATCTGACAGAAGGAACAGGTTTCAGTTTGAAATCAACACACAGCACTACTGAAGGATAAGCTAGCAGTTTTCAAAATGATCTTGTATATACACAGCAAACAGCACCCATAGAAATCCTTGGTTTGACATCAAAACCAACTAATACAGGATTTACTTCAGGACAATCCCATTATTTTGCTAAGGTCTAAAAGCAAAGATCAGAACATGGTCTGTAATGAAGTCAATAGAAAAATCGTTCACTAACAACTGCTGGATAAGGACTTCCGTCACAGAATTTAGCATGAGCTCCTACTGACCCACAATAAAATATCAAATCAGAATAACTTGTTTGGGTGTCTGCCTCAACTATACTGCCAAGGGTTGGTACAATGTGCTGTGGGACTATTTCATATGTCAACTTTTCTATGGTTTCTCTATCTACAGTCATTCATTCATTTCCAATCTACATTCATCAGCGAGTTCATGCATCGATTCATTTAATGAGCTGATGTATTTTAAAAATCATCTTTGTAGCCAAATATTTCAGTGAATTCACTAAAGCAGAGTCAAGCGGAAACAGAACAAGTCATCAGAATCTCCAAACACTGCAATAAGATTGTCAGCTGAGAAAATCTGCAGGAATTTGCCATTCCAGATGAAAGAAGTCTGAGGTGGCTGTGTTCGATAATCACAGCTTCTATCTTAAATAAGGAAAGCCTCCAATACTTAAATCAACTGTGATTCAGAATTAATTTTAAAAATGAACAGCTAGCTACAAAGGCTCAGGTTCCACCTCTTTTAAACTACCACCATAAAGCAAAACTAAGAAAGACATCTTGCTCTTCAGATTTTTGTCCTTAACAGTTGTTTGCATCTGCCACCTCCACCCTCAAACCATGGAAATCGACTCCTATTTTCACTTACAGCCTGCACAGCTATTAACAGGCTACTGCTCTTTGTCTGAGCTTCCAGAGCGAAGAAACATTACAGCAACTAAGTAACAAAATCAGTCATCACAGAGTTTCCTCAATTCCTTCAAAGTTACCAGCCTGTGATGCGGCTAGGATCCTACATACAGCTTGGGAACTTCCTGCAGCCTGCCCTCAGATAAATGATCTGGCTTGAAGTCATTCCAAGTGCAAGTAAGTCTCAGCCCTTGCCATTTCTTGGTCCTACAACAGCACACGCACTGTTGTGAGTCTAGCTCTTTCTCCTGATGAAAGGTACAAAGTAGGAAAGCAACACCCTTGCCAATACAGAAGAGAGTTGGATTGCTCTTACTTGGGAGGGGATGTGCTCAGGCTGCATGCACTTTTTTGTGGCTCACAGCTTCACCAAATTTCATGCCTATGCAATCTTCACATTCAAATTGTTACATTTATAATGATCCACCTCTCCATTTCAACAGAGCACTAAGTGTATCACACTGCCAGAATCAGTTAATACTGTTGGTCTAAGCGAGGACTTTCAAAAAGGTTTTCCGCATAAGCATGAGATTTCCTGAGATCATATATCAATCACAGTCTAGCTTTCAAACTATTCTGCAGGCAATACCCCTGAAGTACAACCAGTTGCTTTGCCAGGTGGAAAAAGCATCACTTCAGAGCCTTCCCGTCAAAGGAACCTCTTTCAGCTATTTATTTGCACAACGCAGGTGAGGAAAATGCCTGCAAAATTTGCTAAACTTGTTTTGGAGATGTCAAAGCTTATCAACATCACATTATTGCAAAACAAGAGTCCACATATTCTATCTAAAACACATGTGCAAAAACCCACAAGAAGTCAGCAGTATAGATCTGACTTTGAGTGCAAAAATAGCTCCCTCATCAATCCTTGCAAAATGACAAAATGTCCAGAAGAAAAAAAAATCTCTAAAAAATGAGTAAAATTCAGTAACCTTTTTGTTTCATCAGAGGAAAAAAGAAAAATAGCCACATTCAGGACTGTATTCAGTCAATCACTAACCAGAAGAAAATCAAGTGGTAAGATTAAAATATTTCCCAATTATTGTATCTACAGAAAATGTCAACATATCAAGATAACTAAATGCACTAAAAAACATCCAGGCAGCTATGAAGTGGATAGCCTAACACAGTGGAGAACTGAGGAAAAGCAAAAGCTACTTGCACCTGTCAAAATATGAAGGACTTTAAAATTGACAAATCCTCTTAAATGTTCTTGACAGCCTGCACACAGCACTTACTAGTAAGATGATCAAAGCAGCAGTAGGAATTGTCAACATTAATTCTTTCATATGCGATGAAAAAACTGATGGTGCTGCTTACACGAATAAAATGCAATAAAGCACTTGCAGAGTTGTTACTACCCACATCAGAACAGCACAAGATTCCCATCTGCTTATTTCCGAAGAGAGACTGAAAAACACGATGTAGCCAATATGGTATTTGCTTCATTTAAATAAAGCACACAGCTGCGCGCTCTGACAGTTTGTTTCCCCTTGCACTGTGGGTGGGACTCACAACCCTTACACTAGATCACTCCAGCTGTCACTGCTCTTGGAAAACACGTTAGGATTCAAGTGGCTAACTGATGCTGTAAGAAACCTGAGCAATTTGAATGCTTTTTTTTTAAATGTCCGCTCATTTATGCTAACAACTGAACATGAAGTGTAGAAACCAAACTGCACACACATTGTGTGAGACGAGAAACTACGCTTCAACTCTGAAGAGCAAACAACTTTGTGTATTTAGCTGATATCCTTCTATTTAACTGAATTGTCCCAAGAAGACTACCATGTCATATCCTCAGCACAGTTCCTGGAACGTATTCTTATTCGTAGGATTCTTCAGCTGATTTACCACTGTCCTGGAGAATCCTCTCTCCTGAAGAGCGCCCTGAAACTAGACAGGATTTTTTTGTTGTTTGCTTCTGTATATATCAGGACAACTTATAATGCTTTAACAATTATCACTATAGCTTTGATGTCAATAGTCTGCTGCCTCCAAACAAATCACAAATCTTCCTAGGAGTTTCTTAGAAGTATATATATCAGGATGACTCCATTTTAATTGTATTTTTTTTTTTTTTTTCCTTTTTGGCTGTATTCTTTCCCTGATGATATGAAGAATAGACAGCATTCACTGCTAGCTCTTCTGCATTTCTCCTTCAAGTCACACTCTGAGCCCTTATTTTTTAATAGCACACTACTTCCAAAGCTCCATAACCAGCAATACTTCTTAAGAACCATCCACATTCAATGATCAAGAAACGTATGCAATAGACAATAAAAGGAAAATGCTAAAGAACAAAGAATTGAATTCCCACTGATGGCTGTCAAAAGACTAAACAAGTAACTTAATGGACCTGGATAGAAAGATTATCTTTAGAAGTAATACCTGTAGGATTGTAACATATTTCTTATATTTTTGTACTCAATGCAAGTTCTGTTGAATATACATTTCATTGTATTTTCAACATATTATTTTATGGGAAAAGGAAAGCCCAGTCAAAAAGAGGAGATTCCCAGAGAGTAGAAAAATAAGCCAGCATCCGTGAAGAGAGGAAAGAAGCCACAACTAAAAGCTGAAGTACAAATACTGGTTAGAAGCTCTGCCATCTCCCAGCCATCAGAGGCATCTGTCTGTCATCAGAACTTTGGGGGCAAAGTGGTAAAATAGAAGTTAAAATAATAAAAGCGAGTAGTTTTATTCTAGTGCACAGATTACAGTTAAGTTATGTTAGGTGTGCATCTAATTAATAGCAACAGCAAATGAAATCTTTAGACAAATTTATAAGATAATACTTCCCACTAAGGTCACAATGTTTCTTTCTTTCACAAGTTTGCTTTGGCAGTTTGATAACATCAAAATAAAGATGGAGTTTTAGCTTTTTTTTTTTTTGTTGTTCTTCCTGTAGGTGATATAAAAAGCTGCACTCTCAAACAAGGACAAAAACCTCACTTTGCTTCCATTCACACAGGAGACAAGTAAAAGGTTCAAGACAGAAAAAAATTCTTCAAATGACTCTAATGGATTGCACAAAAAAAGATCAGTAAGTCTTCACACAAATAGTGGTCACTTTGGTAGGTAATACCTATGATTTCGTGATTTACATAGACTTTTTTTGTCCTGCTAGCATCTGGCATCTCAGTAAGAGACACAAAAAGACAGAAATTGTTCTAAACTGCCTTTACATCATTAATTTTCTGCACACAGGAACATACCTTTTCTGTCTCAGCTTTATCCTACAAGTATAGCCCAGATTTTTCTTATGTTGAACTAATAAAGAGAATTTTTAGGAAATAAATTTTTTTCCCAAATGCGAAGCATAGAAGACAAATCTATATGTAGACAATAGACTTCCTATGTTTTTGGCATGATTGTAGAAAAAGATCAGAACTGAAGCTTTTTCAGATACATATTGAAAGCATTCCTAGCCTAGATTAAAACAAATGATGTGCTTGAGGATAAAAGAGTACCTACAAGTGTCATTCACCTGTTCCTTGCCCTTTAATCCAATGTGCTTGTTTAATGATGCTTTGCCCATCCCACCTATCTTGTGATTAATACAGTTATTCAGATGGTTGATAGATTGCAGTATGGGTATTTATGAAAAATGTCTTCACTCGGAAAGGCATTAAAATAAGCTAAAAGAATAAATGTAGAAACCAGACTGCATGCAGCACTAGGTTACAAACAGCCTCTAAATTATAAATGTTTAAAATAAGATGTACTACACGAAACTTTCCACTCATACTCAGGCCTTTTGTGTCTGACCATTCTTTGGGAAAAAAAAAAAAAAAAAGATAGCCAAAGCACAGAATCACTCAAGGAAAAAGAATATTTTGTAGGATCAGGGCCTAAATTAATCACAGGAGCCACCATCCACCTGACTGATCAATATGAAGGTAATATTGAGTAACATACTTTCAACCAGCTACACGCTAAGAAGGCAGCAAATCACAGCCAGCTTTCACCAAAGTCAGCAACATGCTCACCTGAAGGCACTGGTACCATTAGTAAGGCAACGGATACAATTATACCCTGAATCAACATATTAAAAGCAAGTTGCTTAGCAGGGGATGACAACTGAAATACAGCAACATCAGCAACATTAACTTAGGCCTTGATCCATTATGTACTGCAAGTACATAACAGTAAATCAGAACAGTAAAATTTTAATAAAAATGCCTTTTTTAAAATGGAAGATGCAGTAGCATATTAAAGCACTTCAAATATTTTTCAGTTTGTTTAATACTACGTATTATGCATATAACTTATCAAGAAGAATGGGACAAGCTATTTGAAAATATTCAGTTCTGCCAGCAAACAGGTAACACTAGTGGATAAACAAAAGCTTAAAAAAAAATAAATCTTCCTGCTTCCCTACTCAACACCAAGAACAAGAAGAAATTTTATATATAAGAGATTAAAAAAAAAAAAATAAAAGCAAAGGTCATTTCTGTTGCCAATAAGCCTTTCAGATGCAAACATTTTACAGTAATATTATATACTAATTTTGCATTTCTGTTTCGAGTTTTCAGTCTTCTTTGAAGCAACTGGTTAGCACACTATTAAGGGTCTAATTCCTCTTAAACAAAGGCAGTCTTGTAAAGTGTGACAACTCTTGTAGGCACAAATATATCAACTGTGACAGGAAATGTACACTGCTAGACAACCCATAGGAGGCTTTTTGTAAGAGACCAGGCTTCATATAAACTTACAAGGTTCCATTATTGTACAGCTAGATGTTTTCAAAACTTTGGCACATTCAGAAAAATGCAGAGAGAGAAAGAGAGAGATGGACTCCCAAAAATATAAGAAAAGGGCTTCATAGAACAATGAGAAACCATAATAAAATCCTTTCCTGAACTGTAAAATAAGGGTGGTAACAAGGGAAAAAGAGAAAAAAAAATGCTGGTTGCTTTTCCTTGAACGTAGTAATTTGCAATAGAAATAGCCTGAATCACAGGGCAATTTTCTTTCTAGGGCCTTCTCTACCTTGCAATTGTTGGCTGGACATGACCAGGGTATGATCTCCTTGTGCTTGTGGCTTGCCTTTGTCTAGCCAGGAAGGACTGTCCTGAGCCTGTACTTGCCAGCCTGTCTTCTGCTGCTTTTTTATGCAGAGTCATCCCCTGTGGACAAAAACAAGTTTCTCAAAAAAAAAAAACAAAAACACAACACTTGACAACTTTATTCATTTATATTTTATCATCTGCATCAACGCTAAGTTGTTCTGAATTTCAAACATAAAGCATTACATTTTTAAAGGCATGACAAAGACATTCTTCCTGATTCATTACAGTTCCTCAATATTTTTTCAAATTACTGTCCAAATTTGGAGGAAATTGCTGAGAAGCAGGTCCTTTGTATTCCCACATCTGACAATTTGCTTTTCCACATAAGCACACCCTTTCAGAAGTGCCTCCCCTCATCACCCAACCCCCCTTAGTACGCTGAACCAGAAAAGTACTTTGCTTTTGAAAACAATGAAATTATTTTTATCTCTGTACTAGCTCACAGCAGGAGCACATCTTGAAAGTGTGTTTCCAGTGGGAGCAAATGTAAGGAGAAAATGAGAGAAGCGATGGGTTGTGTACAGAATAAAGGCTAATTAGAAAGGACATACACAAAACCATCAACACTCATCTTGGCACTCGTGATTGGCTGCTGAACCACATCTCTTTATTCTGCCCTGTATTCTGCACATCAGTGGTAGTAATGCAACAGATCTGGTCAAGGACACCTGCCACTTGAAAATCCCTTCAATATTCAAAGGATTCGAACACTTTGCTTAAGTACTATTTTTGCCTTACTATTCATGATCATAACAAGAACATAGAACATCAAGAAGGAAATTCTTCTGAAAGCGAGGAAGAATTTGAACTTCGTGGTGAAGAATGAAAAATGGATGTCAGTTGGGTCATATTAGAACAGCAGCTTCAATGCAGCCACATTCTACCAAGGAGATTTCTGAAAGGCATTTGTTAAAGGTGAAAAATGTCTCTGCATAAATACCCAGCAAAAGCTGCTCCCTAATACTCTGAGCAATTTAAGGGGGTGCCAGGCCCACATTCACCTTCACTTGGGACTAAATTTGTACCCAAGGTTAAAGAGGTTGCTAGTTAGTGTTTACTGCAGTAGTAGACTATTGTTTCTTTTTGCCCCTTCATTAGAAATGATGAGAAGATTGGACATTGCAGAATCAAAGAAATTCAGGCACTGCAAGTCCATATACAGAAGGGCTGGAACTACAAGACAGCAACTAGAGGCTTCCAGCTTACCCCAACGTTTAGAGGAATAAACTCTTACATAGTAGAAACTTCAAAACATGAAGAAACATAGAAACAAATGTCCTGCCTGTTGGAAAACACTTTTCAAACAACAACAACATGTAAATAAATGAGGCATTTCACGAACAACCCATGTTTTAAAGTTTTGGAGTCTCTTACCATATTGTACCAGGCACTAACAATAAGCTTCTCCTCCATTTCTCTTTGATTTTTTGTTTTCTCATATTCTTTCTATAAAATAAACAAAATCATAAATTAAAAAAATATATAATAAAAGTATTAGTCTTTATCTAAAAAATAATACGGAAATACGCATCAACAAGGAAATGTAAAGACTGATACCTCCAGTGAATGAAACATTCTATCCCGTTCCTGCAACTGATTTTTCAGAGCCTGAATCTCAGGAGTTGCACCTTGGTTTTGCTTAGGATCTAAGGTACGGATGACCTGTAAGATGAGACCAATTTGTGCTTAATTAAATGCTGCAAGAATCAACCCAATGGAATGAAAAAAAAAAAACCTAAAAAACTTAAAGCACATCAGTAGTAAGAAAAGACACACCAAAATGTGGAACAGAGGAATGTGCAGTTTTAACAGGCTGAATCCTGCAAAACAATCTTGAAGAACTGCAAGACAGACGCTCTGAACATCAGCCACAGTATGTTAGTGCATCCAAACAGGAGCCTCTTCTACATGACCACAAAATGAAACCATTAATGGGAAAAAGTGACACCTGAGGTTCAGCATCTCAGACCCACATATGCAGATCCTTTCACTAGTTGCACTACCTTGGGCCACAGTGGTGGAAACTTTTTCTCAAGATCTTTTCTCGTTACAGCTCTTGTCTACCTACTTATGGCCTGTCAGCTTCTCCTTTACAGCCTGGAGAAGAGAAGGCTGCGGGGCGACCTCATTGCAGCCTATCAATACCTGAAGGGAACCTACACCCAGGAGGGGAGTAAACTCTTCAAAAGGGCTGATAACAGCAGGACTAGGGGAAATGGTTTTAAGTTGAAGGAGGGAAGATTTAGGTTGGATGTTAGGGGGAAGTTCTTTACAAGGAGAGTGGTTAGGCCCTGGAACGGGCTGCCCAGGGAGGTTGTGGATGCCCCGTCCTTGGACGTGTTTAAGGCCAGGTTGGACGGGGTCCTGGGCAACCTGATCTGAATGTGTATGTTTGGTGGCCCTGCTAGGCAGGGGGGTTGGAACTACATGATCCTTGGGGTCCCTTCCAACCCGGGTGATTCTGTGATTCTGTGATTACAGCTTAGAAATATCTTCAGTCTGGAAAGCTGCCACCTGGCACCAGATGGCATTGCTTCTAGAAAACTTTCTTATGTCAAGAAGCATGCTGTGGCATATGCATGGACGTTTACCTATTAATAAAACAATGTACATTTAGGTATGCTCATATATGGCATTCATTACAGGCAGCATCTGGGTGCTAAAAACCACAGAGCTAAACCAAGAAGAAATGCAGCATAACATCCAGATTCCTAACTCTTTAACAGAAAAAAACTGAAAACTTTTTAACAAAACGTGGATATATGGGAAAAGACTTCTGATTTGTCTTTCTACCCATTTCAGGTTCACATATAGATGTTGAAATAAAACAGTACTTTAATGTACTGTATTTAAGAAAATAAACATTGGACAGTTTCAGTAGTGGAAGTGTATTCATTTTCGCACACACAAAAAAGAATAGCAGAAGTTGGTAAGATCACAAAAAACTAACCTGACTAAAATAACTAATACTACTGTCGGATAAGATGTCCCATAGTAACACAGTACATACAAATAAATCTTACTGAAAGGGGAAGTCAGCACTCTTTCATCAGAATATCCTGAGAAAGAGTAAGCAACATAAGGGAAAAAAAAAACAAAAAACAAAAAACAAAGTCTCAGTAAGCTACATTTGTGTGTACAGAAGCATAGCCTTCAGGAAAACCATCAGAAGTTCCCAGAAGTCCCAGCATAGATGCTAATTAAAAAATATTTTTGCTCACAAAGCTTTCTTCCCTTGTTAATTTATACAGGTGGTTCTCTGACTGTGAAACACAGTGGAGCTATTTCATATCACTTCTTAGTATGGACATGACTTCAACTAATCTATAGCTCTGTCACTCAGAGACACAAGTTTTTAGAATTTAGACCCAAATTTAAAGAATTTTGATAAAGAAATAGGTTGTCACAACAGTAGAAAAGGTTTAGCACACTTCTCCTTGTCATTTTCTGACTTCAGTAAGTCAGGTTTCACCGGGTGACTCCAGAAATCTGCTGCCATAGGTATATATGTTTACACAGACAGCAGAAGGGGCTTATAGATAGACAGCAAGAGGGGACAGCCAGGAACACAAAAGTAAAACCTGAAGAATAAATCAATATTGTGTACCATAATGGTAAGATGGTAAAGAAACTCACCATTTCTTTTCTTGTTCTTACCACTGTATATACAATTAACTTCTTTATTTTTTATTCCCAGAGGCTGGACACGTGGTGCAGCCAGGAAATATTAATGCAGAACAAATACACTTACACTTTTGGCCTTTTCCAAATACTTTTTGTAACGCTCTTCCATTTGCTTCATTTCCTCCTCCTTCTTCCTTAAAGCTTCTTGTAATTCTTCAATTTTGAGTGCTTTATGTGAGGAGGTAAGCACATTGGAAAACAACAATTACATTATGTTTATTTTTCACAAGTTCAAACAGACATTTAAAGCACAGCCAGAACATACTGCAGTTAAGAAAAGCATACATAAGGAATGTAATTCAACAGATATCATAATCTGAATTACTGAACAGCTCAGGAAAAGAACAAAAGTGTACTCTTCCATAATCTCAAGCAATTGAAATACACAAGTTTTGTTTTAAAAAAATTATGAAAAATAAAGACAAAGGGAATCAAATCACTGCAATTAGTTAGCAGACTCACAAAACTTGTTTCTTAATACATTATGGATTGTGAAATATCTTGGTACTGTAACTGAGATAAAAATGAGTTTATCTATTCTATGTGAGATTAATGATCGACAGGTGTGATGCTTAGATACATTCAATTGCAACACTGGACAAAAAAATTACCAGAATCACAACATAAATGTACTCAATTTAATCTCTTCCACAGCAGCACTGACCAGAAGGACAGTTTCACTGCACAGTCTTTTCCTGCGCTGATTAAAAAAATGTGCTGAGCCACATACAGTTTGTATAAACTACACATCTTTATAGGAAAAGACCAATTCCATCATTCTGCATCAAACAGCACATATCACTGGTGTGTGGCTCAGACAAAATTAGACAACTGGCAACTCACAATCTGTTTTGCAGCCTAATTTTGTCATGCTCTTTCATGTTTATCCTATAGTTTTCTCTTGAAGCATTTGGAAAACACTAAGCTGGTAACAAGATCAAGTCACGTTCCAGCATGCCAGAGGACAAAGTCCTGCTGAAAGTCTTCACTGAACAATAAGAGAATCATATTAAATGATCTTCAAGATTATAAAATTAATTTTTCATGGTGGGATGATTCTTGTATAACACCCAATCCTTTTGGAAACATCCAGGACACCTAAAAGAACCTGAAGAAATAATTCACACAACTTTTATCCTGAGTGTGAAGTACCACCAGTATTTTTATTTCAATGGGACTGAAAATGGGAAAAAACAGATTTTTAAAAAGCAACTACAGAAGCTTTAACACATCTTGACTTCTCTAAGTCAGAGAGTCAGTAAATTGCTCTTACACTTAACACTAAGGCTTATCAAGTATGACAGGATCACAAGTTTATTATCTTCTCTTTCAGTCCCTGATCTTCAATTCCAAGAGTTCTACCATTTGCTATGACAGAGTTTTACAATGTATATTGTAGTTTTGGCTCAACACAACCAAAATTCCCTTTTGTATAGAGGATTCGTGCAATGAATACTGCAATTATATTTGTCTTCTTGGATCTCTTCATGACTAGAATATTTTTTTGCATATACCAGAGGAACTAAAATTGGTTGCAAGTTTTTGCCTTGTTCTATAAAGTGAGTAAGCTTCAAAACAACAACATAGCTCTAGTAATATTTCTCAAGAAACAAATAGCATGACTGTACTAAAAATCAGTCGTTAACAGCTAGATGCTAGCAGTTTGGAAACCATCTGTCTATATGATATAAACCCGACACTCTTGTTGACCACTGTCCAAAAGCTTTCTCAAATTACAACACAGTTCTAATCTGTCACCTGAAAACATGCTGAAGGAATATGTATTGTCAGTAAAAATAACCTAGGGATCTTCAAAATTAAGATGCTAGGAGATATGACAGTTCTGAGCAGCTGAGGTTCAACAACAGTTACGATACTGAGCAGCTATTTCTGTGGTCATTATCATGGTGGTCCTTCACATACCATCTCCTTTATTTCGAGTATTATAAGCATTTTTCTGGCCACAATAAATTCTGAAGAAATTAACAACAACTATCAATGCCATTGAACATGTACATTTTGTTTAACCTGCACTTTCCACAGGCATTCTAATTAAAGACCTCACAAATGAAATACTTTACAAATAAAAGGAATAGACTGAATGTCAGTAAACTCACAACTGTTATTGCATCTTGGTTCCAAATCCTCAATAATAGCTTGTTTCTTCTGTAGCTCATTATTAGCTTCATGGAGCTTCACACTGTTACAAATCAAAAAAGCACACGTTGTTTTCCCAGCATACTTACTGCGATTGAATGAACATTAAATGATATATAAGAAAACTCAAACAGCCATGTATTTCTTACGGCACTACCAATTTTTGCCATGGGGCACAAGGTCAAAAGGCAGGTGTATCAATGTCACCGTGGAAATATTTGTTACATAAGCTGAAAATTATTACAGTATATGGAGAAAAAGCAGCTTCATTCTCAGTCCAAAATTAGGAACTTATTTTAGAACTTACAGTACATTGTGCAACTGATGCCTAAAATGAATAGTTGTAACTTAGATGACATTATGAAAGAATGGATGAATCCCAAAGCAACAGAAACTATGCGAACAACTTAGCAATAAAAAAGTGAGCATCTCCTCATATTTCAGAAAGTAGAAATAGTAGAACAAAATAACAGCACTTCCTAAAAGGTTCTTTTATGCCCTATTAACATGCAAAGATATTATTTTTGTTTACATTACCATGTTTCCCTCAGAACTTACTCTTCTTATGCAATGTTAGGCAATGTGTTCTAATTATCACAATAGTGATAAGTCAAAAGTGATGGCTCACTTACAGCTTTTACTATTTTGCTAAGGGTATTCTATTAAATGAAAATAATATCCAAATAGCAGATTCCCTAACTCTCCCATGCAAAGCAGTTTCTCTGAATTGTTTATCTTTTAGATGCATTATTCATGAGTATCTGCTTTTCCTGCCATATGGAAAACACATTTTAAATGGAAAGCAAAATAAGACTAACATAATACTTACAGATTTTCTTCAAGTTTCTTTTTCAGAAGAACTGACTAAAATGGAAAGTTAAATGTGTTACTTTAGTATACTGTGGTGCTTTAACGTAATTTCAAAATTATTTTTAAGATACAATTTTGACATTCTAACCAAAATCCACCTTTTTACTTCACTCAGATTTAGATTACAATTGTAAACCTGTCCTCTGTGGTAGTTTTCCTCAACAGCTGTGTGACTACTCTGAAATTAGAACGCTCCACATTTTCACAGATATCTCCCCAGGAACTAGATCAGTATAAGTAAGATCCATAAAGGAAAATGTTCTTCAGCAGTTTTAATCAGATTTAACAAATTAACCTGGAATAGAAAGTGCAACAAAATTCACTAGAAGAATCGCCCTAGCAGTACTGCAAAGCAATTGAATGAAGACGTGTAATAAGTTATTTGAACCTAATTCCTTTTCCCACAGAAACTAGAGGGAACAGAGTGTTTTGGACCAGAGAACAACAGATATTCTCATGACTTTTCTGTTTCTCATCTGTACTGCCATGTAAAAAAAAAAAAAAAAAAAAATCATACAACTTACAGTGTTCCACTTTCTGGTTAATTCACATTTTGATAAGCTCTTTAAATAAAAGCTTCAAAGAAAATTTTATTTTAACTTTAAACTCACTTCATACACAGTGAGTACTTTTTGAAAAAAATGAAATCAGTAAATGCCTATGAGCTGAAAGTAGTGTTAAGTAAATAGAAAGCCATACTCACAATAACCTTGAGCAGAAGCCCATGCCAAGAAACAGAGGTATCATTAGTATTAAGCAAAACAGCAGCCAACAGAAGAAACTGTTTAGAAAGTACACGAACAGAAAAGTTAAAGCTATGCATATTTTCAGGCATGCGCACTTTTCTCCTCCGTTCTCATCAACTGCTTCATACTGTAACGTTTTCTAAAACACACTACTAAAAAAATTAAAAAATCATAAAAAGCATATTTTTAAATATTCAAACTAGAATTTCAAAGGAGAACAACTGCTTTTTGAAAAGTTATGTATGAAAAAATCAATGCGAGTAACACAACAGGAGGAAATATGCAATCTATTGGACTACAACCACCATGAAGAGATGCGTATGTTTTCCTGGGGTGATTATGAACTGTGCTTTTTCTCCGTTTTGTTTTGTGTTTATCCCACACCAACTGAAGAGGAACTGTAGCATGTGATGGCATTCTAGAGCAACTGTCATCAGCAACCTTCACTGTTTATGCTCCAGTGGTCTTGCAGTGCATGTTTTGACCAGTAGGAACAACTACAGTGTGCATCACCCCCAAATGCTAGGTTTGTTAAAGGCTTCAAAGGTAAAGGCTTCCAAATGTTGTCTCTGATCACACTCCTGGGTCAAATTTTATGATTCCTAACTTCCAATGTGTAAGCCAACTTCAAAGTTGCATTTCTTTATTGCACATTTATAATAAAATGGGGGAGTATGCAAAAATAAGCCTTTTTTTTTTAAGCATTCTTTCTCCTTTCTGGGGTCTAAATTTGGCTTTGTTCTGTATGTTAAAGCTGCAGGCAGATGACTGTGATCTGGCTTGAGGTTAGACTAACTAAACAGGATGAGAGAAACTATAGCACGTGATTTGAGAAAATTGCCTGATACAACAGCTAACAATGTCAGAAGCTAAGAAAAGCACCAGGATGGCCAGATTTCACAAACAGGTAGGAGTAATAAGCAAAGCTGCTGACTTCATAAGAAACCAAACAGGCAACAGAATTCTGGGGACCTTTCCGGGAGAAGCTAAGTCAGGAGGACATAGTAAGTGTATTAAGAATAGCATATAAAGCCAAGATTGCCTATGTAATAGTATGAAAAATTCCCAATTTGTTAGAGAGTTAGCAGAACTTGGTCTAGAGAAGTGGAAGTATTCAAAGGTCAGTTGTTTATTTAGGACTATATTTACAGTAGGCAGAAAAAGAGAGAACAAGTGGGAAGAACAGGAGCGATAAAGCAAGCAAATGACATAAGGCTGTTTGGAGTTCTTGTTGAACAGCCCTACGCATGTACATGTTCCGAAAGACAACAAATCAAACCTGCTATTCTAACACACCACAGATGTTTCTCTTAATATGGCAGTCTGGAAGATCAGAGAGTAAGGAGGCCATTTCCTGGCTAGTAATGCAGTACCCAGAAGGGACTATTCATGAATCCCAACATGCTGTGCAAGTGCCTGTTACAGGCCTATTCACACTGATGTCTTCCTAACATCCCCTTTCCACTGCACCTTCAGTACAAAAATCAAATTGCGTCCCAATCTGGATCTTGGCAATGGCATTTGTCTGGGTTAGAAAAACATTTTTACTGCTTCTTGAGCAAGCCTAAAACTTCAGCTTTGAGAACAAAAAATACTAAAAGAACAAAAAAACCCACAAAAAAAAAAAAAAAAAAAAAACAATAACAAGAATACAAACAGGACCTTCAGTTTTCAAGGTTGTTCATATTTACACTGCTAAGTATGCAAAAGCAAGGATTTCAATGCACTATTGCAGAAAAGTAGTAAAAATCAGAAAAAAGTTGGTCAAACAATGAACTGCATGCTGTGTCCCTCCTTGTCTCTGTTCTCATAAATCTGAAGAATCACTTTTCAAGGATAGCTTGTGGACAACTTCCAAGATGTCTGAGTACAACCTGATTACCCTTGACACTGGGTTTAACTTTGAGGTTTGCTATGCTTTGTTAGACTGGATGAGGTGTTCATTGATTCAGATGTTCTTGCAACCTCTACTGATCTGACTCTATACTCTTTTAAGGCCTGTAACCAGCGGTGTTCCTCAGGGATCGGTGCTGGGTCCGCTCTTGTTCAACATCTTCACCAATGACCTTGATGAGGGGATAGTGGCCACCCTCAGCAAGTTTGCTGATGATACAAAGTTGGAAGGATTGGCTGACACGCCTGAAGGCTGTGCTGCCATTCAACGAGACCTAGACAGGCTGGAGAGCTGGGCAGAAAAAAACTGGATGAGGTTTAACAAAAGCAAGCGTAGAGTCTTGCATCTGAGGAGGAATAATTGCATGCACCAGTACAGGTTGGGGGATGAGCTGCTGGAGAGGAGCTCTGTAGAGAGGGACCTGGGTGTCCTGGTGGACGACAGGTTGGCCATGAGCCAGCAGTGTGCCCTTGTGGCCAAGAGGGCCAATGGCATCCTGGGGTGCATTAAAAAGAGAGTGGCCAGCACGTGGAGGGAGGCGATCCTCCCCCTCTACTCTGCCCTGGTAAGACCTCATCTGGAGTACTGAGTCCAGTTCTGGGCTCCCCAGTACAAAAAAGACAGGGATCTCTTGGAAAGAGTCCAGCAGAGGGCCACAAAGATGGTGAGGGGCCTGGAGCATCTCCCCTATGAGGAAAGGCTGAGTGAACTGAGTCTGTTCAGCCTTGAGAAAAGAAGACTGAGAGGGGACCTGATCCAGGTCTATAAATATCTGAGGTGTGGGGGGCAGAATGGCGAGGCCGGACTTTTTTCAATGGTGAGTGGAGACAGGACAAGGGGAAACAGCTGGAAACTTCAGCATAGGAAGTTCTGCACAAATGTGCGCAAGAACTTCTTTACAGTGAGGTGACGGAGCACTGGAACAGGCTGCCCAGGGAGGTTTGGAGTCTCCTTCTCTGGAGATGTTCAAGACCTGCCTGGATGCCTACCTGTGCTACCTGGTGTAGGGAACTGCTTTGGCAGGGGGGTTGGACTCGATGATCTCTGGAAGTCCCTTCCAACCCCTACAATTCTGTGATTCTGTGATTCTTTTACTTCTTTAAAAGAAGTGAAGGCCTACATACTAAGCTCAGCAAAACAGGCTAAGAGGTTAGTGTGTATCTATTGCCACTGGCTTGGTCAGACCTATACAGAAGTGAGGAAAGCAGCTAATTGAACAAACTCCAGCTCTGCCTAGCAACACTTGTCTGCACACACACAGCACTGTGTACCATGGTGCTGTTTTACTACTCGCATAATCACCTCACATTATGCCTACATAGGCTGCAATCAGTTCTGTAAACAAGCTGCAGACGTGCCCTAAACTACAGCCCAAATTAGAGCTTTAAAAAGGAACAGAATTCCAGTGCAGTAAATAATGCTGAATTCAATTAAATAGGGACTATTTACAACACACAGTACCTGAGAATACCGTTTTCATATTCCTGTTCATCTTGGAAAATCAGATTTTAGTAAATGAACAAGAATGCAAAGAATATATCAGAATCATAAAATAGCATGAACCTATTTTAAAAGAAACTCTAAAACACATTCTAAATTACTTCAGGAAATGGCCTCAATTGAACCACACTACGGTCTTTACAGTCATGCAATATATTCTAAAAATTAATGGAAAAAACTAAATTAAAAACTCTTAAATGAAAACAAGCAGCTAGAAGATCTGTCATTTTTTAATATAAATCACTTAAAATAAAAACACAACAATAGAATGCAACACATTACAATTTGTTGCCAATTAGCAGAGCAATACACTGGTATTGTGAGTGCACACTGTATATATAGATAGATAGATAGATATATCCTGCAAATCGCTGTTTTCAAGAAAGTTTAGAGAGCTTCTTGTATCAAATACAGGAGGTGGCAAAAGCATTTTTTGAGTGGAAAACTGAAAGTTGTTCTCACGCTAACCTGCCATGATGCGTACTCTCAAATTTACAACAAAAGTAACTCTGTGTGTGGAAACAGAAAATGCTATATTATGTTAAGTGACTAATCATTTGCCATTTTCAGTTTTGGCCTGCCAAGCTTCTTGCATTAGCTGATACATTAAAAAAAAATTACAGGGCATCCACCAGCAGGAAAGACCTTAAATTCCACTATTGAAACAAAAATATCTTCAGATACATTATTAAGATGTGGAGAATTAACACGTCCTTAATTCCCCTCGAAACTCTTTATTCTAACTGTATAATTTTAAACAATGCTTTCTTTGGTATTGGAACAGACAAAATTTAATCAAATAAAACATATTTGATACTTTCTCTGCATAGAATGTTTGTATTTTTTCCCTTACAGAAATGTCTTATGTTCTATCTAAAGAAGAACAATTTAGTGTTAAGGCAGTAACAAAGAATATGCTAAACAATGAGAAATTCCTAGCAGTCTGATTCTTTACTAAATAACAAGCTGAAATTTCTACAAAAAGTTCTTGTTTAAATCACTACAACTACTTGAACGTAAGCTTGACCCAGATTTCTACTTACATCTTCAGCTTCTGAATCTTGATCTTGCAAAGATTTTTGTAGTTCTTCAATCTGGGATTGCACTTCGAGAAGTCTCTGATTTATCAATCTATGAAATAAGTAAAACTTTATTTTTCAGAAAAGAACAAAAAATTTCAAGATGATGCTTGAGACTTTTAGGGTTTGCTGTTTCCAGATCTACATAAGAGATATAATACTGCATTTTATTCACTAAGAATTTATAACAGAACTTAGTACTTAGAATTTATAACAGAACTCAGTTCCAGAGGTCAGAGTTGGCAGCCTCCCAGAACATTTTGATACCTTTCCAAGTCAGTGTTTCATGTAAGTCATAAGAAATTATTTCCATATACACACGAGAAGAGTTTCTAACTCTTTTTGACTTTCTGTGTGAAGACAACTACCGTACTGCCTTTATGCAGTCACAGAACCCTAACAACCTGCAGGCTGGTAAAGACCTCCTGAGTTTATTTATCTAAATATAATTTATAATTATATAATTTATTCATCTAAATATCTTGAAGCAGGTCCAAGTACAGCAGACTACTGTAATGCTGAGGTCTGGACACCACTACAGATGGAGGTCCAACAATTTCTTTGTAGCTGTTCTCTAAATTTCTTTTGGACATTTTTTTCCTTTTGTATTCCTTCAGAATCTCTTGTACTTAAAATAGTTTCCACTGCGTCTTGTACTTCCACTGTCAACGACCTGCCTTCTTCACATATTCCCATTATGCAGATGTATATCACAGAATGATCTCTCCTGTCATCTTTTTTTCAGGCTGAACAAACCCTGTCCTCTGTCTTACCCCACATGATGTGCTCCAGTGTCCCTCACCTCAGTACTCCTGTATGTCCACATATTTTCTACACTGATATGTCCAAAACTACGTGCTACATCCAAAAGTGGCCTTGCAAGTGCTAATCATAAGTGAAGGACCATTTTTCTCAACTAGCTCCCACCAGCTAATTTTTCCACACTGTTGTTAGCACTACTATTCACTATAATTGAGTTCACCACTCAGTCTATACGCCACTGTTTGGAATATAAACATACCATGAAAGACTGTGACAAAGGCTTTGCCAAAGCCACTTCCACATAGGCAGCCACTCATTTCATTGTAGAAGACAATTACATTAGTCAGGCCTGAAATATTCACATTGACCTTCCCTGTCCCTCAGGTGACTGGAAGCAGATTCCAGATTTCAGTCAGCCTTGGATCCTTTTTCTTGTCTTTTTGAAGGTGAGTGTGGCATTGAGCTTTTCTCAAACTTCAAAAACTTCAATCAATTACCAAGACCTTTCAAAGATTAAATGAAGAGCAGCCACACACAAGTAAGAGTCAGCTTTACTTAGCATTACCTTAGCATCCTTAGATGCATCTTGTCTGTCTCCATGGATATCTATATCAAAGAACATGTGCTGCTGTGTTCTGACTATTACCAAGCATGGAGACAACCTTTCTGGGCATCACACATTTAGCAGCACTCACAGTAAAGAGGTATTTTCTTACATTTACATAGAATTTCACGTGTTTCAGTTTTTGCCCATTGCCTCTTCTGCCTCTCTACTGAAAAGACTCTAGCTCCCTTTCCTTTAGGCACTTCCACTAGATATTTTTAAACATTAATCACATCCCCCCTCTAGCCTGCCTTCTTTCCAGCCTCCCTATCTCTCAGATTCTTTTTGTTCTGCCGTACTTCAATCACATCCTTTCAGCATTTCATTCAATACAGTAAGTCTATGCTTTTATTGCGCTGGGGAACCTTGTGCTGGACAAAAAGTGTCAAAAGTGTACAGCACTGTCTGAAAAAAAAAAATCAGTGCAACTTGGGGGCAGAAGACAATATTTCTTACCTGTTCTCTGTCTCCAATTCATTCTTCCGTAAATCTGCATCATCAAGAAGGCTCTGCAACAAGGCGATCTTTTCATTGTCAGAACCTTCCTGGTTCAACTTTAAGATCTTGTTTTCATGCTGAAGACGGATGAGTTTTTCCCTAAACAATTTGAAACACAATTTTCCAGAAATTGTAAACAGATTACCACAGGATGTGTAAAGATTGCATAAAGATTCTCTTTACCTATTTAAGGAAGACATATGAAACCACAATTACGTCTTCAAGCCCCCAAATTAAAATCCAGTTAAAAGAGCTATAATTTTTGAAAGTAATACAACAGAAAGTTGCCTGAATCACTCTATTAGATATCAGAGTATAGCACGACATGTTTATTAGGTAGAATACAGAAAATCTAGAACTAAGTGCCAAGCATCAAGGGAGGTTGTAATCTCAGTTGTACATGAACTACTGCTAGAACCTGGGGAAGCTACTTCTGCTTCAGAGTTTGCTTTTCCTCATGTTTCCTGTTGATTCACACAGGTGCAACTGACAGGCCTGACTGCAAAAATTTCCCAGCTAGTCCTCTGGCTTCCTCCATGAGGTGAAGAAAGGTGCTTGCAAACAGATTAATGTCCTGTCACAATGTGGGGAACGTAAGAACAGTAGCTGCTGCTTGAATGGGTGGGCTGCCTTCCTTCTTTACCTAAGGAAGCAGCAGCCCAGACCTCCAGATCAGGAACTTCTAGTACTAAGGCAGCTACTGCGACTGCCTCTGCGTGGTAGGCAAGGAGGCTGAGTTGAGGATCTGTAAACAGTCTGCACAGATGCATACTTCCATAAAATCCAGATTTCATCTTCAGTTTAAGGTGAGGAGATGGTGAAATGTCTCTGGGTCTTTAAAGCATTTATGGCTCCTGCCTTCTATTGTTCAGTCTTGTAGGTTTAATCAGTAACTCCATACTTCACTAATACTGCCACAAAACATTATTTTTCAATTCCTGAATAAAACTGGAAGAAATGCTCTTGAATTTAAGGTGTATCAACAGAGATAGAAGAAAGTCAACTGTATTCTATGACTAACTTTGTAAAAAGTTACTCCTTTATCACTGCTTTTAACCACATAAGGAACTTTCCAATTTTTAACAACTGTATCAGTATTTGTAGGGATGAAAAAAATTAAATGCCTACAGTGTCAACACATATCTGAGACATGACTGTCTTTCAATAACTTAATTTTCAGGTTATAGTGATAATGAATGAGCTTACTGGTATAACGTAACTTTCAACCTCTTTCAGCTCTGCCATGGCTGTTCTGCTCTTGCATAAATCAATCATTTACTAAGATATAAAATTGGTTACAAAATCTATTGTTCCTTTCAAGTGTTAGCCGTTTTTTCCTTTCACAACAGCAAGTACTGGTATTCTGTCAGAGTACATACAAGCTGCAGTTACATGAACTCTCTGCAGAAAAAGTACAGTCTGAGGTGAAGTTTGTTGTTTTTCCTTCTTTTGGAGCACAATACAAAAACTGAAGAGAGGTCAAACGAACTTTGTCTAAAGCATAAAAGCTTTTGCTGTGCAGAAATCCAAAATGAGTTGGAAAACATTAACTGCATAAACTTTTCAGCACTTATTAAGATGTAAACCACTCATTTATGGGTACATCATAATGGTTAGTATAACAAAGCACACATATTAGCTTACTTTATTTCAGGAGTAACAATTTCTGCTGCTAAACTGTCTGAAGATTCTTGTCTTCCTAGGAGCATCGATCCTGAGTCAGAAAAAGTAAAACATTTAGCAAGCAGACCAGTTACTTTCTTTTAAAGAAACAGAAGTTAATTTGTTCTACAAGTTTGTAATTTTAGAGTAATGCTATAGAATGGAAAATGACACAGAATCAAGCTACAGGAGGACAGGCAAGCACAATTTCATTTGAAAAACAACTGCTATTTCTGCCTACAATCAATCTGGTCAACATATTTTGTGGTGATTTTCTCAACAGATTATTCAAAAAGCTGTGCAACATAATAAACACACTGCAACACATGAAATACCACACATATTTGAGAAAGCATAAGTAATTTTCTTCAGACTGACTAAACAATTTAGAAATACATCCTAGAACTACCACTGTGAGGAGTCTAAAAGTTCTGAAATCAGAAGTTACGCAAGTTATGAGTAGTAAAAGCAGCTTCTCACTGATGCTTTCAAAGAAGTCTACATTTATTTTCTCCCAAAGTACAATCAATACTGTTCAGATAAATCTCATGAACTTTAGAAAAGATGCTTTTAATCTCCACATTTGTTACCTGTAGTGGTGAGTTGACCCTCCTGTGCTTGTACACACCTGAGCTCTTCAATAGTTTCTTTCAAAGAATCCCTTTCTGTTCTTAATCTCTAAATAATTGGAAAGAGAATAAATATAAGTTTTGGCACTGCCATTCCATCTTTAAACTATGCAATTTGATGAAAGGCATAGCATCAACACTTTCAAAAGAATTGAATGTGATATCAGAGACTGCTTTTCGAATTAAGGCATCTCAGCTTATTTCACAACAGAATAAGAAGAAATTTAAAGTATTTCACACAAACAGTGCTATTTTTGATGCTCTGCTAACACAGCTATGGGGAGTAAAAACACTAGGGTACAAGCTGACACCATCATTTTATTAGTGACATAAAGTTCTGGTACCACATAAGAAACAGTATGTACAGGAACCAGTAAGCCATCTTCCTCTTCACTTTCCCTTGGAACAAATCCCTGATGAAGGGAAGTGAGAAGACACTGCAGATGTTTCCTTCACCATGAAATCAAGACTTAGCCAAGAGTGAAATAAAAGACACAGTCAACACAAAGACAAACTTGATTAACTTGGTTTTGTTTCTCTTTCAGCAGCGAAAGTGTGAGCAGCAGTTCCATAACCCCGTCCTGACTTGTGTCAACTGGCCCTGCCAATCACCAGCCAGCATCTCAGGTACTTAAGATGACTAAGACCTAAGACTCAGTCCAAAGAACTGAAAAACAGAACAGGCCCATCTTGGGATCTAGACAGATGGGCTCTAAAGTAGCATCATGTAAATACACTCCCATCTGACAGAAGTCTCCTTTTGGCAAAAATGAGAATTAATAGATTAATTCCAAAAGAATTATATATATAGAATAATAATAATAATAATAATAATAGAATAATAATAAATAGAATTATATATATATATATATATATATATATATATTTTTTTTTATATATATATATTATATAATTCCAAAAGAATTATATAATAGATTAATTCCAAAAGAACCAAGTTTTAATCGTGAAAGACTCCAACAGTGAAAAATGAAAGGAGAGAACAGCAACTATTTAAAGATCTAAGTTGTAGTTTGCTCCAGTATCAGAAATATCCAGCACCACTAAAAGGCCCAAGTCAAACCTCAACTCTGCGTAGGTACAGAGCTGTGTATACTGATAGCTCCTTGAATCCAATCATATTAACAGTTTGATGTATTTTATATTTCAGTCTAAATGGACCCCTAACTTGGAAAACCCTTGGCAAAGACTTTATTGGTAAGGTGTGGCAGAGGCTTCTGTTGTATTTCTGAATCCTAACCAGGGAACTCTGGTGCAACTGTCACAACCATCTGGATACAGTGTGCATTCCGCTAGCACAGCAAGCCACTTCATGAGTCTTGCAGGTTAATGGCTTTACTATAAATACAGAAAAATGGCTGGTCAGAGGAATGTTCAAGTTCAGTTGCTGAAAGCAAAGATTCTGCAGTTTGTTGCAGTCAGAAGACATTAAGCCAATTAATCAAATGCTAGAATATTTCAACGAATAGACAATGCTCAGAGTCTTCATTTGTACAGTGAAGACAAAGTCAACTCATCCAATAATATTACGTCTCAAAAAACAGACTACAGAATTGAAATTCACCTGCAAAGCTAGAGATATAAAACCTCGTACCACACTTGGCCTGAATATAAAGAAAAGGACAAAACTGCCTCTAAAATGTAACTGACAAAGTACCGTCACATGGCTTCCGATCTGCGATGGGCAACGCTAGTGATATGTATGTGATAACTGGGGAGAGCAGATAACATTGGTGGTGTATCACTAATACAAACGTTGAGAATCTTCAACTATAAACTAGTTCTCAAAGGTGCGTATCAATTCAGAAGAAAGTACTGAAAAACAACCTAAATAAAAAGAATATGCTATTAGCCAGGCAGTAGCAAACTGAAAACTGTACAACAGTCACCTACAATTCAGATCCTTTGTGCAAGACAAAATGGTCTATCAAGCAACAGACAAGCCACAAACACAATCTTACTGCTGTTAAACACAATAAAATTGGAAAAACAAGCTTTAAATAAGAAGCAGAGATGAAAGCCAAAGCACAAATGATAACTATAAGCATTCCAATCTGAGCTGAAGAACAAATGGAAGTGAAAAGGACAACTGTTCAGAGTAGTTAACAAAATATAGAAATCAAAGACCTGTGAGCTGAAAATAAGTGAAGATTTACTATCTTACAGATACTATTTAAGGGTAAGGACTGCCCTTTCTTGAAAGGATTTAACAGGCAACATGATATATTAAAGGAAATGCCTACGAAGAACTTTCCTGATGAATAAATGGATTTATACTTCAAGCTTGAGAAATTTCTAACTCAAAAGTGCCAGCCATGCTTAGGAGCACTGCAAATGCATTACTAGGAAAAACAAACAAACAAAAAACTGGTGTGAAATAAGAGTATGCAAGAAAAAGTCTGAAAGTCTGGTCTTAGCAAGAGGGGACAGAGTAACTGATCTCAGAATTATTAGCAGTAAATGACAGAGAGGAACAGAACAGACCAGTCCTGTGTATTCCATGTTAACACTACAAGACAGGTCAATGAACTATCGTGAAAGGCAAGACTATTACAATGGAAACATCCTTCTACAAGACTCCTAAGCCTCTTGCTGCAGCATTCACGACTACGTAAACAGAAGCATGCAGTTGGTATTTCAAAGAAAGATCTTAAAAGAAAAAAATAATAATTTAGTTATAAGGAAGATACTGCAAATACACCTACTTTAAATAGTCATTCAGAATACATGACAATTATGCTGAGCGTTTATTAACCTTCTCATGAGGAAAGGGCAAGAAACAATTTCAGATCTCAACTGTGAAGGCTCTTCATTTTTAAGAAGTGTTGCATATGATCTTAGTCGTTTAATTCTATGCTGTACAGTTCTTAGATTTAAAAAGTATATTATAAAACATACATGAGGAAATTATAAGTGAAAAAAAGGCTTCCTAATTTAAAAAGGTTGCTGTAAATGGCTAATTTTTATTACGACATCTCTCTGTTACAAAGGACACAAAGTTGCTTTCACTACTACCAAAAATAAAAACCCCACCACCTTGGCACTTACATCTTTTTCTTTTTGGAGGCTGTCTACTTTTTCTTTCAGCCGTTTGCATTCATAATCTAATTTATCAGCTTTCTTGGATTCTTCAGATAACCTGTTTTGTAGTTCAACTGCCTGTGAGAACAAGAATCAATAATTTGTCTGCAAATATTAGTATTAAAACAAAATACATAAAACAAAAGTAGCCAATTACCATGCACCACAAGTTATTTTGTAAAACAAGCAAAATGCTTATCTATAGGACTTCCAAAAACTTCTTGTTGTTCTGTGTTTCAGCAAAACTAACAGCATCCAAGTATTAGGTCTCATGACAAAAACAAGAAGCAAAACCTGTAAAATACATTCAATATATCTATGAACAGGACTGGAAGCTTAGCCAGGTCTAACAGGAAAAAAAAAAAAGCTATGTACTTCTACAAATTGCTCAGGAGCAGTGCAAAAATCCTTCTGCTTTCTGAGAAGCCAAGAGGAAAAAAAAAAAAAACCTTTGATGAAATTATCTACAATGGTTGTGAAGCCTTACTCAGAACTCAACTGCCAGTTTATGTAGTCAGATAATGTCTCTTAACCTGAGATTTTCCTAATTATTTTTTAATACACTAATATAAAGATTTGGCCAGAGGCTCATTATCAGTTTACTAAGAATGAAATACACGTCTAACAGTGTCAAGTATACACTTTTAACCACAGATCAGTAAAGAGTTTATTTAATACATAGAAACAATCAGTGAACAGAAGGCCAATCAGCAAAGTTTTGCCTTTCCAAAGTTCTCAACCTTTACTAATGAAAGCTCATTCTCAGACATTAGTAATACTCATAACGTAGAAAGCATAGTAGCAAGTAATCTGAATAAAGACTTAGCTGCAAATACATAAGCTGAATGATGATTCAGCTGAAGACATAAAACTTCATAAGGTGGCTTTCTCTTCGGTTTCAGATCATAGAGAAGTGACTAACAATCTGTCAGTGCAAAACAGTAGCTGTGCCTATATAAGACTGCCTAGCAGTTGCAATTACGTTTTACTTTCACTGTGAAAAACTAAAAGAAAATAACCAGGCCTGAAAATCTGCATGGTCTTTGTCTTAGAATGAAAGATACTGAGTTTTTTTTTTTATTTGTGGTGCTTTTTTGTTGTTGGTTTTTTTTTCTTGTTAATAAAGACATGAAATAATAAATAACATCTGCCATTTCTGAGATCAGAAAAAATTTACAATGCCAGATTGGAAAATATTTAATTTTTCAGATGTGACTTCCATCACTGGGGATACAAAAAAATCGAGGCCTTCATCTACGATTTTGCCCTCTTTGTAAAATAGATACATTCCTATCTGAATTAGAATAAATGCATTAATGTCTGTAATAATTCAAGCTATGGTAATGTTATACAGAAAAACACAGCAGGAAATAAACTGCCCCAAATCAGCATTTGGGAGTGTTCAGAAAGATACACAGCTACATGGTAATGCAGAAGATTAAAAAAAAAAATAAATAAATGAATTGCCATAACGTTTACTGAGCATTATCTGACATGTGGAATGAGTAAAGCAGTAACCTTGCAAAGAAAAGCGGGACATACTGTTAAAAATAGAACACACAAGCACAAAGGGACTGAATCAAAATTACAAAAGTAATCATGGAATCTGCACATCTGAATTCTTCATGGTGCAATAAAAAGTTTCTCAGAAAATGCTTGCACTTGCTTTCGGAAAAGTGAACAATGCCTCCTAAATAAGTGCTATTATGTCTCCAAGTACAATATGCCATCACCAAGCTTATCTTAAGGAAACTAATATTGATGAGATTTCCTTGCAGATCACTACAGCAGCTTGAACCTTCACCTGCACAGCACAAGTTTTCTTAGCCAGATAAATATCTCCAATAACTCTACTCTAATATCTTAATTGGGGTTGGATTCCTCCACACATCAGGGAAGACATGTTGCTCTACAGTAGCAAATGAGTGATCAATTGTATAACATCTGAATCTTTAAACCTGGCTTAATTTTTATAGCAAAAGTTAAGATTCAGAGAAAATAATGAAATGACAGTTCACAATTCATAGCCAAAAAGATCCAACAGGACATGTAAGGTATATACGCTTCATGATCATTTTGAGACACTGTAATTAGGTGAAAGAAACTATCACCAAACTATCACCTCTCACATGAGGGCACTTGATGTTTATTCCAGTCTCAGACAGTGGACCGGTTCTCTACAAATTATCAGCACCGCATATTGGAAATCTCACCCACGGAGCACTGAAAAGAAACAGTGCTTTTTGCAGAACAAATGACAGGACTGCCCCTTCCAAAATCCTTACCTCAGTTATGTACAATCAGATCTAGACACAAAGGTTACAAAGTCATCACAGAACCACAGAATTGTAGGAAGGGTCCAACCCCCCTGCCAAAGCAGGCCCAATTAAGAAAGCTGCACATGTAGATGTCCAGGCAGGTCTTGAATTACTCCAGGAAAGGAGACTCCAAAACCTCCCTAGACAACCTGTTTCTGTGCTCCTTCACCCTCATCATGAAGAAGTTCTTTTGCGTACTGGTGTTCCAGTGTATGGCCATTTCCCCTTGTCCAGTCCCCACAGACCACTGAAAAGAGATTGGTCATATCCCTTTGTCTCTCACATTTAACGATACTTACAAACATTAATGCGATCCTCTCTCAGCCTTCATTTCTCAAGGCTGAACAGACACAGGTCACCCAGCCTTCCTTCATAGAGGAGATGCTCCAGGCCCTTTACCATTTTGAGGCCCTCCGTTGGGCTCTTTCCAGGAGATCTCGGTCTTTTTGTACCGGGGAGCCCAGAACTGTGTACAGCACTCCAGGTGAGGCCTTAACAGGGCAGAGCAGTGGGGGAGGATCACCTGCCTTGACTTGCTGGACACACTCCTTTTCATGTATCCCAGGATCCCAACAGCCTTCTTGGCACACTGCTTGCTCATGGCCACCCTGTTGTCCACCAGGATTCTCAGGTCCTTTTCCTCTCCAGCAGGTCTGCCCCCACTCTCTCCTGATACATCCTGTTACTCCTTCCCCAGTGCAAGACTGGACAGGTACAATATTTGCTCTTGTTAAACCTCACCTGGTTTCTCACTGCCCAGCTCTCCAGCCTCTCCAGCTCCTGCTGAATGATAGTACAGCCTTCTGTGGCCTACAGGCCACTTCTCCCAGCTTTGTATCATGGGCATGCTTGCTGAGGGTGCACACTATCCTCTCGCCAAGGTCATCAATGAGGATTTTGCACAAGACCAGGTCCAGCACTGAACCCTGCGGAGCACTGCTGGTCACAGGTCTCCAACCAGACTCTGCACCACTGATCACCACCCTCTGAGTTTGGCCAGCCAGTTCTCAACCCACCTCACTGTCCACTCATCTGTCCCACATTTTCTCTGCTTCAGTATCAGAATGCTGTGGGAGACAGTATCAAAAGCCTTGCTAAAGTCAAGATTGATGACATCCACTGCTTTCCCCCCATCTACCCAGCCACTGATGTCATCAAAGAAGGCTGCAAAGATGGTCGAGCACCATCTCCCCTTGATGAATCCATGCTGACTACTCCTGATAGCCTTCTTCTCTTCCAATTGCTCAGAGATGGCATCCAGAACAAGCTGTTCCATCACCTTTCCAGGGACAGAGGTGAGACTGACTGGCCTGTAGTTTCCCACATCCTTTTTCTTGCCCTTTTTGAAGACCAGAGTGACATTGGCTATGCTCCAGTCTTCAGGCACCTCTCCTGTTCTCCAAGACCTGTCAAAGATGACAGAGCGGTCCGGCAGTCACCTCTGCCAGCTCCCTCAGCACATGTGGATGCATCCCATTGGGTGCACCCCATCAGGACCCATGGATTTGTGCATACTGATCCCACCTAGATGCTCCTGGATCACTCCTTCCTCCACCAAAGGGAAGCTCTCCATTTCTCAGACTCTCACCCTCAGGACTCCTGGATGCTGAAGAGTCTTTGAAGTGACTACTGAAGCAAAGAAGGCGTTCAGCATCTCCGCCTTCTCAGCATCCCCTGTTCCCAGGACAACTCCATCATTTAGCAGGAGACCCACATCATCCCTAGTATTCCTTTTACCGTTAACATACTCAAGAAAACCCTTCCTATTATCCTTTATCTCCTTTGCCAGCTTCAGCTCCTGTTGAGCTTTAGCCATCCTCATCGCTTCCCTGCAGGCCCTGACAACACTCCTATACTCTTCCCAAGAGGACATGCCCTAATTTGCACATTTCATAAAGTTTCTTTTTCCCTTTGATCTCATCCACAAGCTCCTTGCTCATTCAACACAGGTCTCCTGCCTCCCTTCCCCAGTTTCCTACTCTTAGGGATGCACTGATCCTGAGCTTGGAAGAAGTGCTGTTTAAATGCTGCTCAGCTCTCACAAGCCCCCTTACTTTCAAGCACTCTAGCCCACGAGATACCTTATATTTGTGTACTCAGCTGCTAAAGGCAAGGAATATTTACTGCTAGTAAACATGATACTACTCCTGTGTGATCAGTTACTGCTTTCTGTATTTACTTTTTCCTTTGACTGTTATGTCAGTATTTTTCTCACCCAAGTTCTTTGTTTCTCATGGTATCACTTGAACTGTATCTACAATTAGTCCACAGGGGCTGAAGTTTGTTGTCTTAACAGTAAAGATGACCACATGCAGAAAAAGTTTTCAAGTCTCCGGACCACACGTTGTATCAGGGCTTGTAGTTTGTGGTCGCTTTTGTGTTCTTTTTCTGCTGTAAGCTGGCATGTACATGTAAGCATGGTAACATGACCACCCAGAGTATCAGATCAAGCAGAAATACATAGCAGGCACTACCACTCTAACAAACTAGCCTCTGTCTGGCCCTGAAACAACAATCCAAGAATTATGTCACATCAGCGTAGAAGCAGAGAGATTAGCACACCCTCCTTCTTCACAGAAACAGGATCATGTAATGCCTTGTTAAGCAATACAAACAGACGTCCTTCACTCCAAAGAGTGTGCTGATTAAAAATTCTGTACTCTTCTGGGTGCATATAAACAAGGACAGTATATGTCCTTCTCTCTTTAGACAGTATACATCATTCTTCCTTTAGACCTGTATATAACTAGAAATTTCATACGTATCAGACAAACTTGGAAAAAAAAAAGATACTTAAACAAGGGAGTAACTTACCTCAACTGTGGTACATCCCTTGCTGCTGTAAATTTCTAAGTACATAATTTCTAAGTATATCTTAAAGAAGAGGCTGTAACCCAAGCCTTACTACTGAGTTTGAAAAAAATAATTCTCACACCCATTGATTTTTGTAAAGTACAAAGACGTGCGTGCTGACAAACACATTTTACACAGATGTAAGAATTGCAAGAACAGATAAGAAAGGCAATACCTAAAAAACAAGTAAAGAGGTGTTTCTTCATCATTTGTATTTTACTTTCAGGTATCAACTGTGTTACGACAAGGAAGTGTTTAAAAATGCAGATAAATGTTGTGTTGATGATGACTTTCTCACCTGCCTCTTATACGTCTCCAGCTGACTGCGTGCTGCATTGGCCTTCCTTAGCTCCTCTTCCAGGCTTACAGTATTTTGCATGTACGCTGTATTCTTTTCTTCTAAGAGTTTCACTTGCCGACGCAAATCACCCAGGTCTTCTAATTTCTTCTTATAAGATTCCACTTGGCTTTCTAACTTGGCTACTTTATCAGAAGAATGCCTGGAGGGAAAGATTTCTATCAAATTTGTATTCTGAAAATGAAGAAAATCAAATGTCCTGAAGCTTCCTTCATGTTTAGAAGTAATGTAAAAGACATCCCAAGGCATCACAAGTAACACAACGAAGTGATCATATCCTCACACTACCATATATTTTCACTACTAAACTTAATTTCCTTCCACCATCTGCTAATTCAAATAGCTGCTGATGGAAGGTACAATAATACTAAAACTATTATTTGACCACAAGTCTGTACCATCTTGAAGGTCACAGTACACATTTAATGTTTATTCAGTGTGGCCAGCTCCCCAATGAAGCCACATGTGCAAGCTGCACTAATAGCTGAGTTGGTACAAATAATGGAGTCTCAGTCCATCCACTGGTACAGATCAATACAATAATCCTGGTATTCCTGAACGTAGAGGAAGTACACTTTAGAACACCAGCTGAAGCAAAAATCAGTTTTTTTTTTTTTTTTTTTTTTAAAGCCTCCTGCTGGCAGACCAACATAATTTCAGGAATGAAGGTGCTTAGTGTGACTCAGAAGTGAAGTAACACTGGGGAGCAAAAAGACCATTATTACTCAGATTACTAACAAAGAGTTTAAATATGGACTACGTGCTGGAAAGATTAAAGGCAAAAGTTTATAAAAAATAGGATATGATCATCTTCACTGAATCAGTAGGGAAAAACTGCACTGATCATATGGCGGTTTGATAAGGCTGCTTAACAGAAAGAAAAGTAAACTATATAGTGAGGAGAGAGTCAGGATTATGGTTGCTACTTGGAAGTTGCCTGAGGGCTATGGTACACACATTAAGAAATGAACAAGTTAAAATATGTTGGAAGCTGAGAAAGAAAATATTACCCCAAAGCAGTACCACACAAAATCCCAGAAATTAACAGAGTAAAATCTTATGCATTATGACCCCAATTCCCTTCTGAAGTTCAGCAGCAATGGCAACAGTTCTTAAAAACTGTTAGATTTGTATTTTAGAATAGGTCTAAAGTTATTACTGCTAGTTACGAAGGTAGGACAAAGACTATGGCACATCCAAAGTCCAACATCTCCAGCAGTTGAACACCATGTAACAAACTCCTCTGTCTCACAGGATGACAAAATTCAGATAATAGAACCCATAATGAAATTAGAAAAACCTGATGCATGCATCACCAGGAAGACAGTGACCATTCCTTCTCTGCTCCTAACCCCATCCCAGGTTCATTTTACAATTAATTTACATACTCAGCTGCCTAAGAAATCTGGAGAATTCCATGTTGGTGATCAATTTATGAGACACTGGGGCAAGTAAAATCTTCTTAACTCCTCAATAAGGACAGACTCTGGAGCAAGACTTTGTTGTTGAACCTGTGCTTGTGACACTGAAAGAGTATGGAATTGTGCAGTACCACAGGCTCATAACCAACATGAATGACAGAGAACATAAAGATAGATGCTGCTGAAATAAATCCAGTCAATTAGAAGAGTCAGTATTGTAATAAGTCACGTTAGCCTTGTGACAGACAATCTGAATAACTGATGGTAGCAAGAAGACAGCGATAAAGAATTACATTTCACAGCAAAAAGGGGCTGTTCCACTTTATAAACCCCAGCACAGTTGGTTATCACAACTATGGGTTCTAAAATCCAGTGGTAAAAACAGCTGTCACATGTTAATATCATACAGAATTATAGAACAGCTTGGGTTGGAAAGGACCTGAAGGATCATGAATCTCCAACCCCCCTGCCACAGGCAAGGCCACCAACCTCCACATTTAATACTAGACCAGGCTGTCCAGGGCCCCATCCAATCTGGCCTTGAACTACTCTAGGGACAGGGCATCCACAACCTCTCCAGGCAGCCTGCTCCAGCACCTCACCACTCTCACAATAAAGAGCTTCTCTCTGATATCCAACCTAAATTTTCCCTCCTTCAACTTAAAACCATTTCCCCTTCTATTATCCACCCTTCAAAAGAGTTGACTGCCCTTCTGTTTACAGGTTCCCTTTAGGTACTGGAAGGCTGCAATGAGGTCACCCTGCAGCCTTCTCTTCTCCAGGCTGAGCAAGCCCAGCTCCCTCAACCTGTCTTTGTAGGAGAGGTGCTCCAGCCCTCTGATTAACTTAGTGGTCCTTCTCTGGACCCTCTCCAACAGCTCTGTCTTTCTTGTACCGGGGGCCTCAGACTTGGATGCAGTATTCCAGGTGGGGCCTCACGAGGGCAGAGTAGAGAGGGACAATCACCTCCCTGTCCCTGCTGGCCATGCCTCTTCCAGTGGAGTCAAGGATACCAATGGCCTTCCAAGGTGCAAGAGCACACTGCTGGCTCATGTTTAGTTCTTCATCCACCAGGACCCCCAGGTTCTTCTCTTCAGGGCTGCTCTCAAGGACTGCTCCTTCTAGTCTGTATGGATGCCCGGGATTCCTCCGGCCCAAGTCCAAAACCTTGCACTTTGCTGTATTGAACTTCGCTAGATTCACCTGGGCCCACCCTTCAAGCCTGTTGACGTCCCTCTGAATGGCATCCCTTCCTTCCACTATGTCAACTGCACCACTCAGCTTGGTGTCGTCAGCTGAGAGTGCTCAAACTTGCTGAGAGTGCACTCAATTCCATCATCAACGTCACTGATAAAGACGTTAAGGAGCAACAGTCCCAAGACAGACCCCTGGGGGACACCACATGTTATCAGCCTCCACCTGGACACAGAACCATTGACCACCACCCTTTGTCTGCAGCCTGGATTTCTTATCCACCAGGTGGTTCAGCTGTCAAATCCACATCTCTCCAGTGTGGATGATGAGCCAAAGTGCCACCCAAAGTACAAACACAATACCACAAGAGGTCTATCTCCTTCACAAGAATGAACTCCCTTATCATGAAGGGAACAGTAAATGGAGAACAGTCTGCACTCAGAGATCAGTACGTGACTTGTTACAGCCATAAGACAGTATAACATCGCTACATTTGCTAATATTCATTAAGTGCCTAATCAATAGGTAACATTTGTTTAAGCAAAACTGTGGTGGTCTGTGTACCTCAGTACATCTATCTCATCCTTCAGAGATTGAGCTTCCTCTGCCAACGTAGTAAGCTCTTCTGTCTGTTGTCTCAATTCAGCAATTTCCTTCTCCAGTTCTTCACAGCGTATTCTGTAGTCATCTTTGGCAGCTTCTAATCTGTAGAAATAATGTAAAACAGAAAACAATTCCTTAGCTTGACCCACAGTTATCTTTCTTCACCATCTTCTCTATCAGAATACATCTTTAAGATGACATACATAGGAAAGGAAAACAGCACTCTAATGTGCAACATCACATACACACCCAAATGCTAGGCTTATTGGAAAAGGACAGAAGCAGATTGAGTGTTCTGATTATTTTAATTTGATGTCAGTATTTCTATTAGGAACATCACAAGGTTGTGATCTCTTAATAGAAAGACAATCTAACTTTTTTGTCACTGTACTTTTTCAGAAATGGATTTTCAAGCAGAAATTTCCAATCTTTTTCATCTTGAGCTGTACAGAGTTTGAATATGATGACTTTATCCCAGGACTTTATTTAGCTGTTCCAGTTCCATACACTTCCAATAGCATTGACCTGATGTACCATTGCCAGATGTACTATAAATAAAATAAGAATACATAAAAAACACTATGAGGTGTTCTTATTTATTCTTACAGCTTAACTTGTTCTTAAGAATCAAGTAATTTAGCTACATATTTTGACCAGCACATAAAACAGAATAAAATTTCAGGGGTGAACTACTCATCTACAGTATATATAGGCAAAGCTGCATTAACCTGGCAGTGAACAGGGTGTATAACTAAGAGAAATTTTATTAAAGCATTTGAAAGAGTAGAAACAGAAAACAAGTTGCAACATAAAATACTATCCTAATTACGATCCAAAATTAAAATGAAGACAATCCAAAACAAGTACAAGCAAAAAAAGTACTTTGTTAATTAAAGGAATTCAGTAGGAAACCAAAGCAAGTTAACTGTAGCAAGAATAGGGGATAAATATGATCAGTAGGCCAGCTAAGCCAAATACAACAAAGGCTGGAATTTTGATAGTCCCAAACTGTCGAAGGACACAGAGTTAAGTTTGAAATAACAACACCAGACCACACTTCACATCAGTTAAGCTGTACATACTTCTTGTTTGGTTGGGTAGAGCTGGAGAAAGAACACAGACATAAGATAGCAAATACTAAGAAGCGAGAGGAGGTAAAGAACTGAAAGACAGGCTTCAGGTAAAAAAGATTTACAAAGCCCTCCAAAACCTGAAACTAGAGTAACTGGTAATGCAGACATTGAATAAGGGGAGAAAAATCTGTTTAATACAAATAGGAAACAGTCAAAAGGCTCAGGTACTTCACTTCAGTGAATCACTTCAGAGAACAGATATGACTCAGCAGAGTTAAAGGGTTTACACTAACGAGATACCACAGTACTATACCTTCACAGGGTAGACATACAGAAACAAGAAAACACACATTGGCTGCTACAAAAGAGAAATGTTAATTATTTTTCAGGGTACTGGAGGGAGATGATGCATCTGAACACTCAGAAAAAAGTCTTTGCAGGACAAGTGGAAAACACCAAAATAGACAAAAAAGGAAAGTTACTTGACAATTGGCAAAAGTATTTGAAAAACGCAATAGGCAGGAAAACAAAAAAAAAAAAAAGGAGAGAAATATTACAGTTTCAGTCACAAAGGAGAGGGAAAGTATAGCAATAAGTATGAAAAGACAACAGTGAAGTAGACTGCCTTTCCTCAGCATTATAGGCTTAGAGAGGCTGAAAGCAACAGCTGAAAGGATCGGGAAGGACAAATAAGGAGAAACTATTTTTCCACCCAATGAAGAAATGCAAATGAGGAGTTGAGCTCAATACCTCAAAATCTCCATCTCTCAGATATGACATATTTTGTTTTCAGACCTAACAGAAGGACATACTTTGTTGCATAATACTACCACCCACAGTAAACGTTCAGCTAGGAATTTCTATGCCAACATAATAGAATCAGAATGATTTATACAAAGGAAAGCATGCTACCTTTCATCACCACTGATTCTCAAATACTGATGAAATGATTGCTCCCAAACAGTGTAAAACAGTGTAAATGGGGACAGGCAGACAGTATTTCATTATTGTACGCAACTTTTGATACTACAACGTATGAAAAGGTGTATCTTAAAATCTTAAATATCATCAAAAACTTCACAACTGTCATAGTAGCACCAACTCCAATAATTCAGCCAGTGAAAACACAGACATATAGTTATGTCTGTTGTCAGCTACAAACAAGTTACAGGTAATTTCCATACCTGAATGTTTCCTCTTGGAGTTGTTCTAGTTGTGTTTGCAGTTGCAAGTGCCTACGACCAGCAGGGCTGTTGGGATCTTCAATAGAGTCAGATTGATTTAAACGTTCCATCAAAATCTGGTTCTCAGCAAGCAAGCAGCTCTTCTCCTCCTGAAGGGCTGCAACCTGTTTTAATAGTTATGCAAACAGAATAATGGAGCAATCCAACTCTACAGATATATATATATTTTTTGCGTACATTATGAAGTAGTAACACAATCTACAAAAATAAACATCCAGGTTTCACAAATCTCATTTTATAAGATCACAGTGTAACATTAATAGATATTCAATTGGTATGTAATGTAACTAGCATATGCCAGCATTAACAGCATTATCTGCCATTCAAAAATGTAATTCTTAACTGTAGTTCATGAATCCAGTATATCCAAGTCTGCACACTTTACAAACAAGTAAAACTAGCACTTCAGAACAACTTTTAAAACTGACTTCCAAAGGAAACAATGTTTATCAATTCCATAATGGATATCCAAGGAAAGCCTGTATCCTTCCAAAAATTTTTTTTGACCAGCAACTAACTGCTAACAACTGCAATTACTTCAACCTGGAAGACAATCTTAAAGATGACATGGTTTCCAACAGCTCTGTGAAAAAAAGCAGCAGTACAGAAGGAAAGAGCTGCAAACAGAAGCTGAAGCATGAGTTTGAATATTATTAAGCATTGTAAGATCAGCATGTTGAGGAAGAAGGTTAAAGAAGAAATATGAACCTCAACAGAAGGAAACGTTTCAGTATGAGCTTGCATTATTAAATACACCAGCATCAACCACCGAATACAACTCAAGGAATACAACTTCATTAATTCTAAGAGTTACTGAACAGCATGGCAAAAGGCTGAATTATACCCCAAAGGTTTCACTGACAGTGCCTTCCTAGGCTCCCACTTAACCCCTTTCATGTCTTCCAAGCACAATTTACAGGAAGGCTCAATTTAAGCCCACGCACAGCTGGCAGACAAGTGTAAATTGTGTCCACAATTTAAAAGGCAAATCACAGAATCAATCTGTGAAAAGATCTCTACCATCACCAAGCCTAACTGTATACCTACCACCAATACTGCCCATAAAATCACATCCCTAAATACTACATCTACCCTTCCCTTTAACACCTCCAAAGGAAGGTGACTCCACCATGTCACTGGGCAGCCTGTTCCAATGTCTCACTACTCTTTCTGAGAAGAAATGTTTCCTAATATCCAGCCTGAATCTCACCTGGAGCAACTTGATGCCATTCCCTCTTTTTCTATCACTAATGACATGGGAGAAGAGGCTGACCTCCACCTTATCAGCTGGATTTAACTCCATTCACCATCACTCTCTCTGAGCCCAGCCCTTTAGCCAGCTGTTGACCCAGCAGAGATGGTGCATGTCCAAGCCATAAGTGCTGACGTCTGGGTAGACTAGACTACGTTCACAGCCTCTCCCTCACATACCAAGCGGGTGACCCAGTCACAAAAGGAGATTAGGTTGGTGAGTGAGAGTCTGCCTTTTATGAACCCAGTGCTACAGTTGCACTACTTCTAGGAGTTCTGCTTCAGGTGTTGAGCCACACAGCTCAATTCCTTTCTACTGGAATTGAAAAGAAAAAAAAAAGAAAAAGAAAGTTTTGATAGTATTAATCACTTAATAATGGCAATACTGTATCAAAATGAGGGAAAGTGAATTTCATTCTGTTCACACAAGTAAAGCAAAGTAATAAAAGTGCAAAAACATTATCATGCAATTTTCTTTTCCCTTTTAAAAATTCCTAGGACTACTTGTCTTAAGAAGTTTAAAAATTAACACATTTTTATCTCCATTATTATTAAAGAGGCACAATACAGAAAACTCACCTGCATATCTAACTCATGACATCTTTGGGCAATTTCTTCTTTTGTTGACAGTGCTTCATTCAATTCTTCCGTAGTTTTCTTCAGCTACCATAAGCAACAAAAATTTTTAGTTTCATAACTCTCTGTAAAGTGAGTAGAAAAATTCTGAACTACATCACTATAAAATTATTTTAACTTAAGGTAACATGTTACATTTTTTGAAGGTAAGGCAAACTTGCTCTTATAAAGGAACAAAGAAGCAGATGTGAACACTATTTAATTTGCACGACAGAAGTAACTTACTTAAGAGAGCATTACAATAATCACATTTAGTCTAGGAATAGCATCTGAAAACCCTGAGGAACTTTTCAACTCTGTACATGAAAAAACTGTCAATACCACTTTTCTTTACGGATACAAAGAGTGGATAATTTCAGTTTTTAAACCTACTTTTTAAAATACACAAAGGGTTGGAAGGTGGAATACAGGCAACGGACAACTAGGGTAAAATCTCTTTAGTCACTTGGAAGCCCGCTTAATAAGAATACAATTAACATGGTGATGGAGAATCCAAATATCTTCTGAAAAAAAGGACTGAACCTTACAAGCAGTGCAAAATATTCACATATTCCTCTTTACGGATTTCATTTCCAAAGTTGCATAATCATCTAAGCTTGTACATGAACACTGATAACATGAAAGGCAGCTACAAGAAAACTAGCCTGATTTGTTTATTTATATGAAAATACAGGTATCTATTACTAAAAATGATGCATTTTAGATTAGCTTTCTATTTCTTTTTTTTCTCCAAACATGAACATCGTATTTTACTTTTTCAAGTTTATTTGTACTGGAACTGAAATTTTCTCTGCAAAATAAGAATATTTGATTTATAAAGCAAGATAATTCAAAATACTAAAGCTTAATTTTCCACTCCTTATGTTAATTTCCCACAAAGGCCTTTCATGATTAGATAAAGACAAGCTTCTTAATAAGTCAAGATGACTGGGCACTGATGCTCTAAGATTGAAAGAGAAGAAAAATCTAATCTTAGATACCTGTCGATCAAGGTCAACGTAAGCATCATCTCCAACAGAGACAGGAGACTCTTTACTCATCAACTGCAATTAGATTACAGTGGATTAGAAAAAGCAAATATTTACTTTTAAGCCAAGCTTTAGTAAAATACTGAGATGATTTTAACTTCTGTGAGCTTCATTCTGACAACTGAAGTTTTCTACTTTGTTTTTATGTATGTCATCCAGAAATAATTACTGAAATATTCTCAGTAGAATTTAAAGATATATAAAATAAATATTACATCATGTCCTTTTTCCTATATTAAAGCACATTTTCATCTACAGTGTAATCTATGGGGTGCTTTGCATAACACTAGCATGCACCTGCAGAACATTTTCTGAAGTGGCACTGGAATGATTGCAGCTACCAACATATTCTCTGCCAGTGGTTTTCATTTTTTGATCATTTGGAAGCTCATATGAATTTATTCAGTTAGTTAACTAAATTTAGGGCTAAGTCTAACTCAACCAATCATGCAAAACAGTGAGAAAGTTCCTGTGTTTTGAAGTTTTACACAATTTGCAATATATAAACTATATAAAATATATAAAAAACTATATAAAATATATTTTAAAAATTTTTATATATATATAAATATTTAAATCAATAATTTCTAAAAATACTATTCTTGAGAACAAGAAATAAAATTGCTTTTATGATGACAAATGGGAGGAGGGAAGTCTTCTAAATTAAGTGATATGTATTAGTGAAAGAAAAAAAACAACCCGATAATAAAGGAAGGTTTCTTTCTAGCCCCTCAAGGTCTTTACAAGTAGTTAGAAGTCAATTCAAATGTAACACAAACTATAGCCCTAGGACCTTCTCCCACACAAGTGCAGAAAATATGTTAGGGTTATTATTATTACCACTGAAATTGTGATCAGCTCTCTAAGACCTGCACTGTAATTAACAAGAAAGCACTGCAGAAACAAAATTTCTGCAGACACGCATGATATGTTTTACTACTTCTAAGCACCATTCAAAAAAGTCACAAAAGAAAGAAGCCGAATTCAACTGAAATCAGGACAAGAGTCCTTTCTTGCCATATTCTCAGGGCCTCCTGCCCAGCTAGCTGCTCCTGCCAGAGAAAGAGCTTCCTTTATTCCTTTACTCCTGCCAGAAACCCGAGCTTTTGCATTAGTCTCCATTGGCAAAGTTTCTCTGGTACACAGCACAGAGCTTGTGTTTTCTCTGCATCCTTTCTGTTTGTACCACCATGTGCAAGTGCAAATCTCCGTTTGACATTTATGCTACTCAAATATTTATACACTTACATTTCTCTCCATTTCTCCATCTCCCTACTTGGGATTTAGATGCATGCTATATGTTTAAATTCATCAGATAACCATGACCATGTTTGTTGCTAGTTGCTTAATTCTTTCCCTTTTGTCGATGCATTTACAGTGATAATCTACCCTGACATGAAACTCTCCACAAAATTCAGATTCTCTAGAATTGAAATTAGAAAGTCCCTAGCCTCAGAGTTCTCCTGAAAAATGAAGACACACCTTCTTCAATATCACAGAGGCTCTCTTCTTAGTGATGTAATATATAGTTTAATTACATCATCTATCTAGCAACTGTCTAAATGGCTTTTTAGACGACTAATAGGAATGTCAAGACTAACCAAATGCTCTTTACCTTGTTCCAGATCCAACATCACTGTTCACACATTCCCTCCATATCCCAGACAATGTCAGTACTATACTTTAAGCCTTTAAATTCTTTCCAGCTGGCAGCTCCCAAGCTGTGCACCACTTGTAAGGGACAGTAGTATGCCCCAACATCCAGCATGTAATTTCTGACCACAGTACAACTTCCTTCTCAGAATTTCAGTTTAATGAGCTCTTCCCAAAACAAACACAGGAGCAATGCAATAGCCTGTACAACTTACTAGAGGTTACCCTGGTATTTCTGCTTTCTGTAGATTACTGTCAAAGAAGCAAGCTGCAGCCAGTAAACATAATGCCTTTATTCTTCAGTGGGTTTTGCCATTTATCTTATGACTTCCTACACTTGAGAGATATTAGCAGAAAAAAAAAATCACAGTATGTCTGAGGTTGGCATGGGTTCCATCTGCTCCAATCCCTGCTCAAGCTGAAGTGCTTTACAGTGAAAAAGAACAGTCTACTTAAGTCCTTGGCAGAGCAATTAATATTTATTTCTTACCCCCCCTCCCATCTAGTTTAAATGCTATTAAATAATAAAATGCTATTTTTTCCATTTAAGCCCAGTATTTTCTTTCCCCATGAGGAAAAAAAAAGGATGGCAGATTTTTTTTCAAAATTGTTTTCATACTAAGATCATTTATGAAAACCACTGAAGTATCAAAAGGCATTTATACATAAAAATGAATTACATAATACATTAGTAAAGCGTAGAGAAGTCTTTTTAGATACCTAATATAGAAGAAAGAGCAACTGCTTGTCAAGTACTTTGAAATGTTTGGATTTGATGACATATCAACTTTTCAGCTATGCATATATAGCTGCTCTCCCAGGCACCTCACTTTGGTTTCTCCTACACACTGCCTAGTCCAAGTCATTTAGATTCTTAAAGCTGTTGTAAAGAAATAGAAAAACTCCTTAAATACAATGAAGTATCACTCCTCCAAAGTCAAAGGCTGCAGAAGCAGCCCTGAAAGGTCTCCTTAGATCTAAACTCTTGTTTTCGAGGATGCTTGCTGACCTCCTTAGTAAAGCACCCTCCTCTGGTAAAGATCCTCCTCACTTGCTTCTGAATACCTTACATTCTAACCATCTTATTTTTTGGAAGACAACATTAAAATCACTCAGATCTACCCTAGTCCAGAATAGTAAGTTCTGATCTTGATTCAATGAATTTCACGTGTGTGGAAGAGGAACAGATCCTCATGTTATTTCTCCCCACTTCTGGTTGCTATATCTAAGAAAGGCCACAAATGCCATACAGGTTCAATGCCTACTCATCAAATGGCAAAACTATTGACTGCTTCAGATCCAGCTATTTTATCACACTAAGTTGGTATCCAGGAGATTTTTCAGAGAAGGAGTGAAGATGAAGGAGTATTTTCTATTTTAAGGCACGCAGGATAAAGTGATGCTGAAAGCCATGTTTAATGAAAGATGATATGAGAAAATCCACCAAAATGTTACCTCACAGTTTAGGGGGAAAAAAAAAAAACAACCTGCAAAATTCAAGCAAACTAGTTGCCTGCTCTTGGCAGCACTGACCAGAAGATGATTTTGCAACAGGATTCTTTTGACAGCATTTCAGAAACACTGTCTGCAATACTATATATATATCTAGGATTGTGTGCAATATATATAAATATATACATATATATACACTATATATATGTGAGTTCACGAACAGCCAACTAGAAGACTACAATGACACAGCATTGATTGAAGTAATAATTGTGGGTGGAGTTCCCTTAGGCCAAGTGAGCATTCTTCCTTTCTTTAAGCAATAAAGAAAAGTCAAATAGCTCAAGAGTTCAATGTGGAATGTAGTTTCTCTCATTCATGCTCAAGATGAAATGTTATTACCAAGATTCCTGCTTCTCTGAGTTGCCTTCCAAGCAGTAAACCTGCATGCACGAAGACTGATAGGCACTTCAGACACACAAGAAGTCATTCAAGAGCTTCATGGCAACAGTGGTCATACTCTGGTTTACTTTACTTCTCTGATGTGCCTAATGCAATTCACCAGTGACAGCTAACTATGAAATACTTCCCCATGGACAGCACCTCTTCAGCTTGATAAGAAGAACCACTGCAGTCTCAGAAACAAAGTTTCCAACAGCACTTTTACAAGATATACAAGTTACAAGACTATAGAACATTTGCCAGAATGTAAAAAGGTGCCTCACAAATACCTCCATTAACCTATCCACAATACTACATCCAACAAAAGAATACTTGGCTAAACACTTATCTTCCTTTTCTTGTCCAGTAAAGAAAACATTAACAGTTCATGGAGTTCTTCAACTACAAAGTAGAAATTTTTAAAAAAATTTACAGTACTGGCTTCTCATATAAAATCTAGCGCACTTCAGGAGACATGGGGTAGGAAAAATAAAGGAAAGAGAACCCAGGATCAAAAATATCTAGAAGTTTCAATCTTCTAGATTTAAAGAAAAGTGGGACATTCAAGCAGAGTTCCATGACATAAAGCATACTTAAATAGCTTTTTCATGAAAAATTGAGAAGATATTTTTCAAAGTAAAATGGCAAAATCTGCACTTGTTACATTTACTTAGAACTGTTTTTTTTTTGTTTTTTTGTTTTTTGTTTTTTGTTTTTTTAATGAAAAAGTATACTTTTCTAATATACTGAAAAGCTGAACTTTTACACACTGTAGACACTCCAGCATACCTCTTGAATTGCTGCCATGACCATATGTTGAACCGATTCTTCCATCATCATTATGGTCTGTATGTACTCTGAAAAAGAAAAAAAAAGAGCATTCTGGAATGTTATATACAAAACATGAGGTTGGAAGTTGCATTCCCCCTACAAAATGACTAGATGCCAGAGATTACACTGAAATGCATAAACGCTGTTCAAGTGTTGCCACAAAAAATTAAATAAGATTTTATCAGGAAATCTGATCAGACAAGCCCAGGCTATGCATCAATGAAATAAACTATGTAATTATCATCCACATTATTCCTTCTTGTATTTCACATGATTCAGGCTATAAAAGTACCTAATGTGAAAAGAGACTGTCCTTTTCTGCAGATTAAGATTAGTGTCCTTTCTACATCCTTATTTCAAGTCATTTTCATTTCCATTCTTAGTTTGCGTTTTTATTTGTTATATCACAAATAAAGTCCTTCCCCCCTCCCCCCCCCCCCCCCCTATTTTCCCCCCCTCCCCTGTAAGTTCATGTGAGCTACATGATAAGTACTTCTGCAAGATGTGGCAGTGGCAGTACAACATCTGATGTTTAGACCAAGTCAACAGATTTATGACTTGCCCAGTATGATACTGCTTCCAATCAGACATGATTGAGGAGCCCTGGAGCATATCCAGGGAAGGGCAACAAAACTGGTGAGGGGTCTGGAGCAAAAGTCTTATGAGGAGTGGCTGAGGGAGCTGGGATTGGCCTCTTCTCCCAGGCAACAAACAGGACCCGAGAAAATGGCAGCAAATTGTACCAGAGGAGATTTAGATTAGACATAAGGGAAAATCTTTTCGTCTCAGAGAGTGGTCAGGCACTGGAATGGCTGCCCAGGGAGGTGGTGGAGTCACCGTCCCTGGCAGTGCTCAAGAGGCGCCTGGATGAGAAGCTGCGAGATAGGGCTTAGTGCTTGTGGTAGCAGCGGTAATGAGAAGATGGTTGGACTTAGGTGATCTTGTAGGTTGTTTCCAACCTTGCGATTCTATGATGATCTATACACAATACATTCTTCAATTCAATTCTTTTTCTTCAAAAGCATTCTCTAATGATCTGCTGAAGTGGGAGATACTGGGGATAAGTATCTCAAAGTGATCGATTACATAATGCCAAACCTCATACAAAATACATATAACTAGACTGCTCAGATATTTTTTATAGTATGTTTCTAATGTTCAGACTGACAGAGCAAAAGAATTCAGTAATAAAACATCTCACTCAAGTGTGCCAAATAATCACTAAAAGGGAGAAAGAGAATCCTACATAAGACAGAGAGGACAGACGGCCTAATACAGAGTTATTTATATATTTGTTGAAGAAAATTAATCTACTTTAATTAATAAGAAAGCCAGATTGTCTCTTCATCAAAAGAACAATAAAAACAATTTCAGATTAGAGAGTAAAGTGATTTAGACACCTCAGAAAACTGAAACAGGTAAATCAGTTCAGAAAGCTAAGATGCACCACCATACAAAAAGACAAAAGGGTCTGAAAGCCCACCTGCCATTTTGGCAGAAAGGAAACTGCAATGGCTTAAATCACAAAGAGGCAAATTTTTCTGCAACTTTGATGTAAATACTTAAACATAATTTTATTTATCCACCTATTTTATACACGTGTTTCCATGCTTCTCATTTTAAATGTTAGGAATAAACTGTAGTTTTTTGTTGTCTTATACTGGCTTAATTTAAGTGCAATTTAGGGTAGTTAGACAACAAATACATAATGCACCAAAGCACATGGCAAGTTTAGAGCAAGAAACTTGAGTCAAGAACTGCTGCCTGCACAGTCCACCACATCCTCTGCAGCATCTGCAGTAAAGTGAATGGGTTCCCATTTTAACTGTGCAGGTGAGATAGACAGCTGGTAACATAAGAGACAAGAGAATCAAAATTGTCTTTCAGAGATGGACCAAGAATTTGCGGTTCTTGGCTCAACAAATCAAACTTGAAAATACGTATGTGCAGCAAAACCTGCTCCACAGTTTGAGAATGCAAAGCCAGCGAAACTCAGAACAGAGGTTATCTGAAAGACAAAATAATGTTATCTTTGACAATATTAATTTGTCTCTAATGGCAGCCTAAGAAACATCATTTTCCCCTAAGTGATTACACAATGAGCTGGTTTTTCATTCAGTGTCTGGAAGCAAACATTTTCAAACCTTAGTACCTTGCTTCTGTTCACAATTCACAGCACATCCCAGAATAAGCTGAAGCATTCTTCCAAGCTCTGCAGCATCAGCATGCTCTCCAATTAAGTTAACATCAGGAAGGGTGAAGTCATTTATCTGTTGCCCTAGAATCTGTATAAAGACCCAGTACACGTCTGTATCAATAGACATACATACGCATAAACTTTAACATACAAAGATGATTCAGAATCAACAGGAAGTGCTCACTTTTCACTTCAGTGTAGTATTCAATCTACCCTTAAAACAAACTAAATTGAGTAATGCCAGCTTATATAACAGATCTTTGAGTATTAAACCATCTGTAATCTTTGGTACTACCAATATTTGGCAGAACACAAACCTGTGCCAACTAATAATAAACTACTCATTATAAACTTTGTAAGATTTGTTTATTCTGGATAAGAAAGTAACAAAAGCAGTCTCAAAAGATGATCCACCATTACATTTATCTTTTGAGCTAGCATGAAACGCTTCACACTAGTCTCATATTTCATCCCACTGGAAAGCTGAAATTAAAACGTTTCACTTATGCAAAATGTATCTAGCAGTGATGGATGACAAATATGAGACTATAAAACACTTGATCACTCAGTCCCACACTTCCAGTAAATTCAACCATATTTAGCAAGTCCTAGAGCTGAAAAAGCTGGTCTAATGGGAAAGAATTTGAGGTAGCAGTATAACATATAATTAAACAACCCACACACAGAAATACAAAAAACCCATCCTGAAAAACATAAGAAAGAAAACATGTGACTTATAATTAACGTAATTTGATTTATAATTAAGAAGGATTTACATTAATGATTGTCAGTAGAAGGAATTAAATAATTCTGCTGGATTTCAAAGAGCTTTCAGGGAGCTGAAAATATGAATATGAAATGTGGAATCAAATGTATCTCTGACACGTTAATTGCAGATAAAAAGAAACTGTCATTTCTTAAGCAGAGAGAAATAAAGAAACAATGGAGGGGATCAGTCTCTTGTTTGCTGAATGCTCATTCAGACTTTAACATTCAAGGAAAAAAAAAAACAACCATAAAACAACAGAAAAGCAGGTACAGGTATGTATTTAAAAAAAATCCTAATACATTTATATGAAGAATACAAAGAATTCAAGCCATCAAGAAGTTTGCCAGGGCTATGCCTTACATATTTGCTGTGGCTAGGTTTGTTCTTGTTTTGTTTGGTTTTTCTGGTCTTCTTTTTAATTTTTCTTATTAATTTTTTAAAAATTATTATTCTTAACAGCTTTCTCAAAGCATGAGCACCAGCACAACTAAAAGCTCTGCATACTGGAAAGAATGCATGAATTGTATCAAAATACTTTCTTTAGGTCATTCTAGTGAGAAAACAAGAATTCTATGAACACATCAAACACAAAAATATTACCACTGTATTTAGACTGCAATAACATAGTAAAACACAATATTATTTGAATGATTTAAGCCTAGTATGTGTTTACGTGCTCATATGTATTCCCTGAATTTCTTTCAAATGCAGTGCCAAATTTAACAATAATATAACTGCTTTATGCTTAATGACAATATAATTGCTGTTGAGAAATGGTGCAGGGACAAAGCATATCAGCAAAAACCATAACGAAACATGGGAACTGAGCATAAAAATAGAGAATTCTGCAATAAACATGAGATAAGTTATACAGCAATAACAATGAAATAACAACCAAATCTCAAATAAATATCTTAAGAGGGGAAAATGCTCCTTCCTCCACTTATTCAAAAAAAAAAAAAAAAAGTATGAAAGACTTCTACAAAGAGAATGAAAGTTTCCATATGAGAGCAGTAGAGCCCTGCAGCTAAATTACTGGGGCATCACAAAGCATGCAAGTCATAAACAAGTACCTTTGGCTTCTTGCTCTTCCATGCCACATGTGACAAAGAGAGCAATGCATAATTGCTATAGAAAGACTGCCCTGCTTGCTGTGGTATTATTTTTTTTATTTATTCTAAAAATGTACATATTGTGTTTTCAAATCTTTTCACTACATCAGGCAAAATTCATATATATTCACATTCACATGTACGCTGTGGAGAAGGTGCCTGATAGGAGGAGGAAATCAGGTTAATGAAAATATAAAGGATTTGTTGTAAAATCCAGATTGTGTCCACTATCACTACTAACATTGCATCAGGAGAAGAAAAGCAAACAAAAAATCTAGTCAAACCTACTTTAAGAACTTAATCTAAATCAGGTCAAAAATTGGTGACCTATTGAAGCAGTAAAGTTTTCAAGAACTTAATCATCCTGTCTTCCCATCACCCAAAAAGAAACTGACATCACTTTGACACAGTAATATTAAGTTTCTGTAACAAAGAACTTCTTTCTTTCCTCCTAAAATGATCTGCTGTGAGGACTTTGCTTTCTGAGACCTGCACTGTCTGGCATGGACCCATGCTGTAGCAGATTTTGAAGAAAAGTGGCTCACAGGAGACCACATGGTGTGAGAGGCATACCAGGCTGAAGCAGATGAAAAGCATGAGGAGGAAGAGGCATGTGACAGGGCAGAGCATCATGGACTGACCACAACTCCACTTCCTGTGCCTCTATGCCGGTTAGGGCAGAGGAACATACAACTGAGATGGAAGTAGAGCCTAGGAAGCCAGGAGACAGGAGGAAAATGCTTTTGGTTTCCTCTTCATTCTCACTGCTCTACATTGTTATTAATTGGTAATAAATCACATTAATTTTAGCCAAGCTGAGCCTGTTTGACTGTGATGGTAATTGCTGAGTGATCTCCTTCTCCTTATCTCAAACTGTTAGCTTTTTTCGTGGTATTTTCTCCCCTTGCTCTTCTGGGCAGGGGGAGTAATAAGAGCAGCTTGGTGGGCACCTCGCAGCCAGGCAAGGTCAGCTTATCACACAACCAATTTTTCATAATTAATTTAGAGCCTGAATATGAACTTATCAGCCTAAGTTCTCTCTCTCAAAATCTATTAATTTTTAAAGACTTAGTTTTTTAACTAATACCTTCCTTACCAAAGTATTCACAAGTAGCTAACAGTGGGTTTTTCCTTATTTTTGGATGTATAAATTAAGGATTTTACATAGTAGTCTGTACTGAACAATTTGCTTCAAAATATCACTGAAGCAAAAAGTAAAATTTAACTGAAGATTCACCACTGAAAAATATTTTATTGTTTCTTCTCTGGAGCAATTCATTCTGATTTTGCTAACAGAGAACACAATGGGCTGACTCCACTATCTCAGGATTAAGATATTTCATTAACAACTGTAATGCAAGCTGATGCTAGAAATGTTTTTTCATTTCTCTCCTCAAGGAAAGAAAAAAAAAGCAAGAGGTAGTCTCTAACTGTAACAGAGATAATATCAGAACTACTTTTTAAGACCAACACTGGAAGAGTCAAAGACATCTACTGTTTTATGACAAGACTTCCAAGTCAGATTGCTCTGAAAGCTCTTAAAGTGACAAATAAAGCAGGCTTACACCTCAGGAGAAGCAATGACACATAATGTACATCAAACATTTTGAAAGATAAAGTCAGAACTCAATGCATCCATAATATAGTTTACATTAACCAAACTGAATTAAACATGTAACAGAAAGAACACAAAAATTACACTGAACTGTTCTTACCTCATGGTTGTAATCCAATATCCCTTTTAAAATTTTCTTCAGGTTGCTTACCTATTCGTCAAGAAGAAGAGAATGTAGTAAGTGCAAACAGTAAATCACAGAGACAGAATCATAAAAGAGGCAATCACAGAACAATCATGCAAAAGAATTGTACAATCACCTCTTTGCATTATAAAATTGTTTAAACATCTTCAGATAGAACTAAGGAAATTACGCAGCATTCCCTTGTGATCAGACTGCCATCTGATCACAAATCTTTATGAATATATAGAACGTATTTAAGTTTATGAAAAGTAACAGTCTTAGACAGTCTTTAGATTAGATTCTGAAGCATGAATCTTCCTTTGAATACTTGATTGTCTTAGTATACTTTTGTTTTTGTGTAAATTGAAAAAAATCCTCTTTCTTTTCTTTAAGTACTTCATGGTCTAATTTCTGTAGAGGTAAACCTCTCCTTCCAAACCAGTATCAGTTACTGCTCAATACCATCCTTTGTTTAAAACATACGTAAGCCTAATTTATTAGTGTTCTCATTAATTATTCCTCCCAGTTCTTTAATTTGTATTTGTTTCTCCTTTTAATGCAGTTCCTAACAATCAAATGTCTGCTTTACACTACAAAGGCAAAATTTACACTTCTCAGCTATGCCTCCAGTGTCACACAAAGATAGCTTCTGTTCCATCTGCAAAACCAAAGGCATCAGTTACATATCTCTTGTTGTACAGAATCTACGCTACAATTCTTCATTATTGAAGTCTTTCAGCCCTCTTTTTGGCAAAAACTCACTTAGATCAAGTACTGTAGATTGTGAAGAAAGCCATAAAAATTGACAATTGATCTCATAGGTGACGTTTAAAAAATATATATATTTTTGAAGTAATTTGTATAGATTCCAAGAATGTCCAACTATATAAACTTAGATAACAGAAGCAGTGCATTATTTCCTGTGATAGGAAGTCTACAAACAGGTTCTGTAAAGACTGAGCGGAAATGAGAGGGTGGCTAGAGAACTGAATAATCACATCCCAATTCTATTCATCTTATCTTAGACATGAGTAGCATAAGAATCAGGATTCACAAACTCCTCTTGCTGACAACAGTACCCACAGTGCCGAACTGTGAGACTGTAACGGAGGAAGAAAAATGAAAACATATCAAACCTCAACTGCAATTACTTTTATATTCTTGAATATATTCTGAAATATCCAATAAAGAACTTTTGTCAGTGGATTGAATCTATCTTCCAAAAGATCTGAGAAAACACTATGGAACACAGTTTGGAGACACGATACTGAAATCCAGGGAATATATTTTCTATGGAAAACTTGAGAATGAAATAGGCTACACATGATAACACAAAACATCTATTAGCACCAAAGAAATCATCGTCATATCTCCAGAGCTATGAACAATTATAGCTAAAGACTACAAGAGATTTAAGATTTTAAAGAAATACAAATTATTTAATTTTTATGTCAAATCACCACATTGAATACGGCACCGATTGGAATAATAATTTTCAAACTTGATTCATTAATATCTTCCAGTTTGTAGTTTACCTGAGTCTGCTGCAGAAAGTGCCAGAGAAACCCAAGGGCCATGTTGCAGAATTTAAGTCCAGTTTACCGAAGAGAACACTGTGAGGAACCTTGAACTTGAACATAATCCCAGAAATGAGAAACAAAATGGAATGCCCTACCCTAGAAAATACTTGCTTTCCCCTTTTCCAGTGAGCTTTGTTTGAATTAATACCTTTAAGACATTTTATCTTCCTCCATATTACTTTCATAGAGTTTAATTCTGTGATGATGTAACAAAATCAGTATTCATCAAAATCTGTCATGAATACTACTGTATATGACAGCATCTTCAGAAAAAGAAAACAAAATGAAAAAAATGTTGTATTTGAGGTCCCACTTTATTCCACTGTCAATTAAGAGTATCAAGATAATTTGCTTTCAGGAGTTAACTACATCATCTTTGTACCAGGCAGACAATCAGACAATTATAAAGCTAAAGGAGCTTCTTTATAGACTGGCTTGAACTTAACAATAATCTTCAGTACTGCTAGGGGAATTCTCTCTTTTGATTTCATTTTACTTGTCTGCAGTGAATACGCTTAGATGGTCCTACTGCCAGAGGCAGAGAATCAACAGCAAACCACCACAAACGCCTTCTGTTTTGAGATTCAACTCCGACAATCTTTTAACACTTGCCAGACCATAGCATAACCTCTAAGAAAGATTTCAAACAGAGATGAGTGAAAATGAGCAACAGAGTAATAGAGAAAAGCAAAGGAAAGCATTAGAGATTATTAATTCTAGAATTCTAGCAAGTGATGGTTTTTAAGTTTTTCTTCTTTCCTCTTTTTTTCTTAAGGACAAAGAAGAATAACTACAACTCGTTAACAAAGACTATTAAATCATACAGTAGCAGAACACAACAGATACTATTTCCAATACAGATCGTCACTATAAAGCATCTTCCAATCCCTTGGAGATCAGCTCACAAGCACGTGGGATCCCTATTTGGTTTCATCAGCAACCTAACCAATTTCACTAATATCCACTGCAGATTTGTGTTGACATTCCTTATGTTAAATGATCACTGACCAGTCAGTTACAGCCATGCTGGCTGTTGTATAGCATTACATAGCTATTACACGCTATAGAGACCTACCCTAACTCTGCAGTATTAACCTGATAAACTGATTAGAATGAAAGCAGATATGATTTCCCTCAAGGTTACTAGAGAAAACACAAAATCTGACACTGCAAGGCATAAGGTTGTGAGGTGGGTAAAGGTGGAAATGGTTTTCTTCTCACCTGTCACATGAAATTATTATTTTTACTGATCTCCAACTTCCAAATTGAAGGTCTGTAAGGATAATATGCCTAGATTTCTCTCCTTAGGAATATAGCTGACCAACACAAGAAAAGCCTAATGTAACGGACAGTGGAAATGCTGTTCAGCTTGCGATTACTGACAGAAAGTAGTCAGGGGTTATTTAACCTCCCGTTTACTCTCTAGTATTTTGACAGCTTGTATTTATCCTTCTTTCATACATATGTCTGAAATTCTGTTTGTAGTGAAGACTCCATGTAAATTAATTTATCCTTGTACATTTCTGTTCAAAGTGTCTAAATGGGAACCCCAGTGTTCTGAGATGCTGTTCTACAGTATCTCTCCTGGATAATTATGCACAGAGGTATTTCCCCTCACATAGCTTATAATCAACAACCTTATAACCTCTGGAAGTGTTACTAGGGCAGACTTACAGTGACAAGAGAATTCTTAATCACTCAGCTACAGAAATGTGATTAAACTCCCTGGCTGCATATAAAAAAAAAGCGTATGCATAGATTCCACCACATTAAGTTTTTGCCTTAAACCGCATTCTGTCTCTTCTCTGTTATAAGTGGGGCCCAGAGAGAGACTGTGCAATTAGCTTTGTGGGTTATCCTCCTCCTGCCTGTTTTGTGAGAAAAGAAATCATGAGAACAGATACAAGAACATCCTTGAGTTAAGGGAGGGAGGGGAAAAAAAAAAAAACAACAAAAAGAACAGAGAAAAACGTATCTGTTGCTTATTATCTTTTTCACAGAAATAAAAGCTGTCTTTTGTAAGTATGTCTATAATCCCCACTCTTTTCATGCAGAAGGACATCTGTATGACAGACATGACAGCACATTCTATCTTTATCAGAAAAAAAAAATAGAAACAACAAAAAACTCAAAAGGCTGCTCATGAAGAAGTATTCTGTTTCTTACAGAGAACATGAAAGTATCAGGACAATTGTACACAGAAAACTAGCTTCCACAACTATACCAGTTGTCCTAGCTTGTATTATGGAATAATTCAATACAACCATAATTCTACTACTGCAGGGAGTCAAAGATACACCTTGTAGATCAGGTTAGTTGGATCACAGCACTAAATACTCAGCACTCAAATTTCACTTAAGATTCTATTTTGCAATGTTCTATTGAATACAAGGCATTCAAACTGCACTCACTGCAGAAAACCTAGCAAATCATTTGAACATGCTATTCAGAAGTCAAACAAATTCAGCTTACTTCTGGAAATATGGATAAAATTGTATTTTAAACTGATGCTGCAGTCTGAATGCTTAAAGCAAAAGTCTGGAAGACAAAGTCAGAGACCATGCACAACAAAGTATTTCCTGCTTACTCTAAGGCAGGCACAGCCCGCAGGGAATGGAAAGGGGGTGGTTTTCCTACAATTCAGTCAAATAATATATTCAGTAATTACCAAAAAAGAAGAAAAAATAAAAAAATCAGTAACTGACACGTGTATGAACAGTTACTGGTTAAAATTTCTGCTCTGTTACTGATATTTCTGTACTATTTGACACAGAACTATTCTTGGTTCTTCATTCCTGCAAAATTTTTTTTGCAACAGATTTATTTTCTACACCATTTTGTAATTTCAGTGAACACTGCTTTGTCTTCAAAATATTATCCTCTTCAGTATAAAATACTAATCTGTACACAGTTTCAACTCCAGGCATACTAAAGCGTTCAGCTTTTCCTGATACATATCAGGAAAGAGATATATATTTTATATATATATTATACTTTTTTGTTTTCTTAACCAATACATAAAACTGCAGTTAGACCAGGAGGGGTTTTTGTTACACAAAAGAAACAACAAACTGCAGAACTAAACTGATGCATGCTGTGCCCCAGAAATTTTAACCCCAAATACTGGACAAGGTGCTTCTGTATGAACACACTAGATAGAGAGATCCAGTCAGCTATAACATACAGAATGCTAGCTGACTGCTTCCTACTCTGCAAGCCCCCAGAGTTCTAACATTTTGCACAGACGGACATCCATCTGAGAGTTAGACACTACATAATTTCCTTAATGCCTCTATTCAAGTGGATAGGAGGGCCTTATGCAGGATGATACAGCCCACCTTATCACTGTTCTATGATGTAGAATTACACACACATTTTGTTTTACGCCTATTTCCTCTACTAGACTGGCTCCTTTATAAGCTTCATAATACTGAGAACATAATACTATTGACTATTATACCATGCAGCTTTGGAACAACCATGCTTAGTAGTAAGAATATACCTTGTCTCATTATCCCCTCTTGTGAGGTACCGAGTTAACCCAATAAACATTTTTCATGTGCTTCTTAAAATATTAAGAAAAGTTACATTAAGGAGGCACACAAAAACACGATGCCTACATTTAAAAACTAGTGACAAACCAACAAAGTTTACAGATTAAAAAAGCTCCTGCGAGCAAGGCTACGAGTCACTGACACACGGACAATTGAAGAACTCAACTACTGTTTACATACATATAGAGAGGAACAGATGACAAAGTATGGCATTACTTTTACAGTCAAAAACTGGGAGTTAAAACAGTACTCATAACATTTAATATTATACATGACTGGGGAAATGGAATATGAAAAAAACGTGCAAAAAGCTGTAGTATACTCTTATTTGAATCAAGAAGCATAATCAGTCTTAGGTTCTTATTTACATGGAAATATGAATGACAAGAAGGAATGATATCAGCAATGAACTGAAATTTGAGATATGTTCACACAGATTTCAGTCACACAATGAAGTCGGATTGAATGATTGCCTGGTCTTTCTGTTATATTCACACCTGCTAAGATTTAGAACCTGCTACATTAGTAGATGATTAAGAAAAAAACCTTCCTCAAGTTCCCTCAAAGAGTTACAAAAACTGCACTATTTAAATCTGAATCAACTGAAATGTTGTTTTTCTCCAAACTTCACAGCCAAAATTTTAATATTCCTTAGAAAAAAGCCACAAAATGATGTTAGGGAAAAGTTAAACCTTGTTATCAGATGTTTACTTGCAGTTCCACACACTTCGTTGAAAAGCTAACTTAAATTAATTGTTGTAATAAGCACAGAATAAATACAGCTGCTTTTCTTGCCCCCCTTTTTTTTTTTTTTTTATTTTTAAGGAACCATGTATTTTATTCTATCAGTCTACTACCACTGTATCCCTATCAATGTTCCATATCTTTGCTGGCAACCCTGTTAGACAAATCACTCAAGAGCCTAGACATGCAAATTACTGGCCAGGCAGAAGGATCTGCACTGACAAGTTTACTGATAACACACATGCAGCAATACTCTTCATCCCTTCCTCAGGCAGATCTTGCCTGTGCCTCTCCCCTCTGCTCAGCCCAAGTGTTGATAAGCCTGTAAGAAGTACAGCATTTCATAGGTGCAGCCCTTTCCTCTTGAGAGGCCAGGGGAAAAAAAAAAAAAAAAAAAGTGCTTATGGCAAACTCCATCTAACAGGAAAAAAAAAAATCAGAAATAAATCAGGCTAGAAATGGCGACTGAGAAAGGTACATGTATTATCCCATGGACAAATCTAGCCATACATAAAGCTTTGTTTATCAGGTTTTATACCAAACACTCCAAAGCTTCACCATGTAAATTCTGTTGACTGTAACAGAAAGTACTCCAATACCAAGTAACGCAAATGATCTAGCAAATAGGCTGTTGTTAGAAAGCACACTGACTACAAACACACACACAAGTATCAGCTCCTCTCCTAAAACTCAGTTGCTGCGCAAAGCCGGCAAAGTAAAATGAAATAACATTTTCCCATTTTTATTAAAATCAATTGGTTACTGGTCTGCTATTTTCTGCAGTCGTTTCTCAGAGCTTTTTTTTTATTTAAAGAAAAGTTACTTTCACATGTAATAGTAAAAACTTTCATATTTCTGTGTTTTTCAAATGTTAATTTAAGCATGAAGTTTATTTTAATATTTTTTTTTACATTACTGAAACAAACTTACAAAATGTTTTCTTCACTCAACTGTGCAAAGCTTCATCAGTGTAAAAAATAAGTACAACAAAATACATCCTAAATTCAACAAACGATGAAGCAACAGATAAAAACAAATGCTTTTATTAAAACACAATATTATATTATGAACTAAAATACAGATATGAGAAGCAAAGTAGGTAAAATACCTTTAACCTCCAATTATCTCCTACTTCTGTTTTGATCCTATTTAACCAGTTTTCATCGAAGTACACTGGATCTCTGAAATACAAAAAGTAGAGTATTTGTTAAAAACAGGTTCCAGAAACTAGGAAGATACCTTAGCAATTAAGCTCCTATCTCACACTGAGGTTACTTAAATGCCTGCCTACTCTGCATTCTATATATGGCCTATACAGAGACCACCCCTACTGCTCTGCAGCACAGCTCCATCTGCGTGCCATGAGTAGGTCATGCTTTGGAAGAAGCTGCTGGACTTCAAGTGTATTTCGTCAGTTCTCCCTGACTGTAAGTTCTTCCTCTTATTTCTCAGCAGCACTGGAGTACTGCTTGTTTGCACTGCTTCGAAGCATACAAAAATACTTAGTGTCTCATATATTACAGATTCCTACAGCTGTATTCTGATTGTAAATACTCTTCTTGTAAATGGAAAGCCTGAGAATGAACAATGTATGCTCTATGCATACACTGAACAATTTAAAAGTACCTCTAGAGTTAAGTCTTTTCTATCAAGAACACACTTCTCTATTATTTAACATTATCAGTTTAATACTATCAGTTTTTGCAAATCTCTTTCCACAGTAAACCTTGGCTAATAGTTTTGTGAATGCCTTTTTAAAAAAAAAAAAAAATCAGTTTTTCTACTGTCTGCTCTCTTAACAATGCAATCAAGATACAGACAGAGACAAGAAGAATGCCACTGCTCGTAATGTATATTTTTATTTCCATAAATTTCCTTCCTTCCCTACAGGCACTTCCGCTTAGCTGTTTGGTCAAGGCAATTCATAGGAGTCTCCTGCCCCTAGTAAGGAAAGACCCATATTTCAGACAAAAAAATGAAGCAGTCAGGGAAGAAAACTTTTTTTTTTTCTTTTTTTTTTTTTTAAGGCGTCTAAGAGTCAGCATGGTAAGCAGGGTTAGAGTCTCACAGCAAGTATTCTGATTTCTGGAATTACAGTGCTGCATTTGCTGCAAAGTACTATTAGATTTACAGCTGTATCCTCCGAAGATAAAAAGGTTCTACATTGAATCCTTCCTTTTTTATTTTTTCTTTCTAGGGGCAAGATGGCATGAGACAAAAGCTCAAAAAAACCCAGCAAGGAGATTCAAAGCAACATCTCTGCAATCATATATGCAGCAGATCAGCAACTATCTCAGTGATTATATTAGGGCCCAGTCTTTGAAGAAGAATCTTGCTCCTGATTCATCCCCTCTTCTGTATTCCATTTTCTGCACAATGTCTTCTTTGCAATGTACCAAGGTCTTTAAGTATTCCATCAACATACTCCAGTGGAGAGAAATCATAAACAGCAACATTTCTCTACTGACACATTTCAACTACTATTTTTACATTCTTTTACAGACTCTGGTGAAGATCATGCCATCTGTCTTTTATATGTGCAAATATATAGCTGGAAGAAAGGAATTACTAGTTAAATAAATGACTCCAAATTGCTCCTATTCAAAAACAGTATAGTTCAGCACAGACAACAAAACCTAAAAGTACGAAACAGAAAAAACAATGTCTTAGCCAGAGTTTCATCTGTTTTGAAGTAGACATTTTCCAAATAGCTTTTGAATGGCCTCTGTGCCCTCAAAGACCAGTAAGTCTAAGCATAAAATTAATTTAAGACATACTGGATCAACCAGAGATGAGAAAAGTTCCTGCTCATGTTTTACATTAAATAAACATATCACTTTGCAAAAGGTCTTTATTTCCTTAACTTTCTAATTACAAAAAGATCATTTGGAAAAAAGCCTGTGAGCTGAAAACACACAGACCTATCTGAACTGCTTCGACTGGAACTCTGGTGTTCAAAAAGGACTCTATTGTATTTTGGATTAGTACTCTGCCATTCACAAGCAGGCTGTGCTCAGAGATCCACAACTAACAAATGTTTGCCCAGCTCACTAAGAAAGCAGGTGCCTGTGCCTCACCAGCAAAAAAAAAAAAAAAAAAGAGACCACTGGGTCCTTCTTAAGGACTATATCTTATTATTTTATTAATTATAGTTGGTAACAAATTTCAGCTGCTTCAACATCACAGTGCCATTAATACAGCAAATTCTTGATTTACCATTTTAACTGTAAATAATTACTCCTATAAGCATAAAGAATTGTCTGCAAGCAGAATCCTACTGAGTGACTAGGGTAATGTTACATACCCCATCTTCAATAATAAAGACATAACAGAGGAAGAATGACAGTATTTCATGATCACCTCCAGCTCTGGATGTCTGCACATCAATAGCAAATGAAAAAATGTTGTCAGTTACTACTGCAATTAAAGTAACACATGCAAATGTGCTTACTTTCTTAATGAAGCTTTTTGCTGCCTACACTCTTATAGCATAAGGCAAACTTGAAGAAGATGCCTGGCAATTACATCTAAAGTAGGTGTGGTAGCCGTTTTCCACAGATGTCTTCGGTTTTTAATTTTAATGTATACAAATCTCATGGAGAACCCAAAGTCCAGAACCTGGTAAGCAAACCACTTTAAATCACAACAGCAGTAAAAACAGTGTCACCAGTTCCCTTTAAGAGCATTTTAATCCGTGTTACACAATATTCAGATGCATACTACAAAAACATTTTGCCAGGCTGGCATCAACAATCAAGCAAATTTAGAATGATCACCCCTTTCCTCATGTATGCATCACCTCAGAATTATTCCACGTGTTTTTATAATTTTAGTTCTGCCCTCAGAATTCCTGTTAAGATTCAGAATCAACATTAACAACAGCACTTTTCTCCATATTGAACCAATAAAATTAACTATCTGTAACCAAAAGTTTTCCATTAAAATTTCTAGAAATAATTTTTTATAAAAGGGTTTCCAGACACTCTTCCCAAAGCTTTGCTAGCTCATTCACCACTTATGTTGCAAAGAAGTCTCCCTCTGCTGAAACCTCAGTAATCATGAGTCAACCATACTGAGAGCTCTTGGTCTCCCTTTGTCACATCATAAGGAAAGATGCTGTTATTTCTTACAGCAGTGTTTGAAAAACATCACCCAAGCAAATACAGAAATTTATAGCAGAGAACTGAGCAGCCAAGATAAGAAAGTCCACCAGTTCTGTGCGAAGATATATGCACTAAACAAGGAAGCAGACACTGGAGCACCACTGTTACTTTGAGATTATGTGCTTGTACTCAGCACTTTGAACAGAGAAGGTTCTTGAACCTATACCCAAAGCTGGGGAATCTACTGCACTAGATCACTTACCAAATTCATAAAAACATTTGTATATCAATTGATTGCTGCATAGCCTCTCAGTAGCACTGCAGGTAATTGGGACTTTCCTTTATAGCAGAAGATACTTACGCTGTTCATGTGATACCACTTGTAGCAGTGCTCTACCACATCCAACTTATTTTGTATGCAAATTTTCCTTTATTTAAGCAACCATCTCTCCAAATCATAGATGCCAAGAGACAGAATTCTTTGAAAGAAAAGAAAACCAGCCCACTGAGCATAACACCTGATTATTACTCACTTTAACAGTGGAGCAGCAAGCTGCTTTAAGAAATATCTGTTTATTACAAAGATCCCTCTAGAAAGAACACTTAAAAGCATGGCTTTTGTATTTCACATGTGTCAGAACATACACAGTATGCTGCAATGTGTAATATCACAAATGAATATTTCAGTAAGAGGGGCACAACACACAGGCTACAATCAAAATACTAAAAGAAGAGGAACACTAAACAGTTTCCAGAATGGGATAAAAGGAAAATTTTGCTATTCTGGGGATATCAGCAGACAATAGGAAACAGATAAATTCTTCTCCATTAGCACTGGAGAATTACTTTCATTCACACTCTAACATGAAATTCAAACATAAAGGTTTTATGATAAAAACAGAGAAGTTGTCTTTCACTGTTTTCACCAGGACCTGTTTATTAACGTCAGAATCTGTAAGTAAAACACTCATGCTTGCTTACATAAATCACAGTTCTGCCATATGAACTTACATAGTATGCTTTTGAATAGCTTCTGAAGGTGTATTTCCCTCTTCTTCATGCAGCCTCTTAGAGAAATTTCCTGCAGAAAATCCTGCTATAGGAACTGACGTTTCTGCAGAATGGTCTCTACTTACAAACACAAGCTACTACCTCAGTAAAAGTACTGAGGAAAAACATACATCAAGCCCCCTTATCAACTGCTGATACAAGGCATGGTTTGTTATTTTTTTTATTCTCCGAAACATCCTCAGCATAAAGTAGTGTCAACTTCAACTTGTTTCAACTATTGCCTGTCCTCATAAGTATCAATGGACACTCTTTCCATGAAAGCGCAGGTTAAAAACAACAACAACAACAACAACAACAGAAAGTTTAGACACTCAAATCCTGAAGTTTTCAAGTTAATCTTAAAAATTTCAAGAACAAAGCTATCCTTACTCTCCTATGGAAGTATACCAGACAACCAGATAAGGCCAACATCTTTTAGTTTTCATTAGAACTCTGCCTCATTCAATTTGAGTTCTTCAATGACTGCATTTGCTTACTAAGTGCTGGGTCCTGCACTTTGGCAATAACCCCAGACAATGCTATGAGCTTGTGGCAGATGGCTGGAAGACTGTGTAGAGCAAACAGACCTGGCAGTATTAGTCAATGCTTGGCTGAACATGAGTGCTCCAGCAGTGTGCTTGGGTGGTCAAGAATGCTGACAGCATCCTGGTTTGTACCAGAAATAGTGTTGCCAGCAGGAGAATGGAAGTGATCGGCCCCTGGTGAGGGCATGCTTTGAATACTGTGTTTAATTTTGGGCCCCTCACTACAAGAAAGACATTGAGGTGCTGGAATGTGTTCAGAGAAGGGCAGTGAAGCTGTGAGAGGTCTGGAGCACAAGCCTTACGAGAAGAAGCTGAGGGAGCTGGCATTGTTCAGTTTGGAGGAGGCTGGGGAGACGTTACTGCTTTCTACAACTGCCTGAAGGGAGGCTGTGGCGAGGTAGGAATCAGCCTCTTCTTCCATGTATCTTGCAATAGGACAAGAGGGAATGGCCTAAAGTTGTGCCAGGGGAGATTCAGGATGGATGCTAAGGAAAACTTATCAGAAAGAGTGGTCGGGCCTGGAAATGTTCAAAAAACATTTAGATTTTGCACTGAGGGACATGGCTTAGTAGGAAATATTAGTAATAGATGGACAGTTGGGCTAGAGCTCTTTTCCAACCTTGGTGATCCTATGATTCTCTGATTCACTCACAGATAACTCTGAGGAAGAACTATTTTTTAAAGATTAATTAATTTTTATAGATGCAATTAAAATTGTTACAATTCTCCCTATTTCCCTTTATTTTTATGCATTATGGAGAATCCAAAATAAGGGGCAGCCATGCTGAAGGATAACCAAATTTCAAGGAATGCACTTTTTAAGAATAGTAGTCTACAATTCTCAATGGAGTAAGAATGACAGAGTTTAGGAGGGTTTGTGTCTCATTATCTAGACAATAAATTTGTCTTTTCACAATTATCTTGATGGGGGATTTTCATATTGAAGGTTAAGTTTTCAAGTGTTCACTGAAAATGACATCTGTTTCCAATGACGTAGCCCAGTTTGCTCCTATTCAACTTCAGTGCAAGATTTCTCCAAATGAGCTCTGTGAACCGGCTGTCTTGCTCTTATTTCTACACCTGAAAAACTTTTCTTCCATGTAGTAATTTTTCTTGTGACAGAGAGGGAAGCAGTACTGGTAACACAGAGAGAAAGGTAAGCTGGAAAAGCCTGTTCTACACTTGCTTCATATGTTTAAACATTCCCGGATTCTAAAATAAGTATTTTTCCTCTTAAATCTGTTTGATTACAATTTCATTAAGATTAGCAAGATTTCGCTGCTAGTGTCAAGTTTGAAAAAGTTGTGTTTCTGTGAAAATAGGTAATACTGGATTACCACTACACACCCAGCTACACTTCAGATGATTACTCACAGTCGCCATTCTCGATTAGACTGAGGCTTTGAATTAATGCATTTCAAACCTATTTGACCTTAGAGTTCAAGGAAACAAAACCATTACCTAGTGCAACATCTACTATTCCCCCATTTACTCTCAAGAATGTTATTACCTCTGGATACAATCAAGCCAACAGCTTACTTCACTGAATTTTATCATGTGAAACTAACTCCACCATTACCAGTAACTTGGGACCTCAGTTATAACCTAATTCACTTTTCAGTAAGATTACACTTGAATAAAGGCCTTCACAGCTTCCTAAAAACAAAACTTCTCTTTTTTCAGCCTTTAAGATAGTTATTTGAAAGCTATGGATAACTATATTTGTCATGTTCCAGGTTAAAGTAATGTCTAAACGAAGGATTAGTCATGCCTTTACAGAATACCAGTCAAATCTGAATCAAAATACATTTACATCAGACATGTTCATAAATAATAAATCTGCATGCATGTAAATAATTAAATAATTTCTTACATTTTTTGAAGAACCTGAGCCATCACAACCCCACTCGTTAAATCTTCCACAGTCTGGCATGGTGCCTCAACATTAAATGTCTGGATCTGGGAGAGAATGAAAAAGGTTACATGTTTTCATTTCAATGTCAATCAATTTTTACACATAAAACAAGCCAGCTACTAGCAAATGGAACAGAGTAAAACCAACACATTTCTTGCAGGAGCTAAGAAGAAATAAGCTTAAATTTAATAGCAAAATAAGATATTAACCACTGTCATAGCTTAGCATCTTTGTTTTTGGAAGTACAAACACTGTAAGTTTAACCACAAACGATGAAAGCACATTTGCAAAAAAAATTTTTTTCCACAGCATATTACTTGGATTTTCTCTCTCTTCAGTATTTCTGGAGCACATCTTCAAGCATGCTTAGGTACACCCTTCCCAGTGAACATATGAAATTCTGGTATTAGAAGTTAACACTAATTACACAAAACTTTCACAAGTTTCCCACAATCCTAAGACTTAATTGTACCCTAACACTGGACATAGGAGCAAAGCATAATGCTGCTAAACCCTAGCAGATCCATATAGTACCAGTGCTCTAGTTATTTTGGTGTGCTTAGTTAACAAAGTGACAGACATTAATTACAAGTCCATACCGTGACAAGACTCTGGTCCTCAGATGAAACTAACATACGTAAGTGTTGTTACTCAGAACTGCAGAAGAGGAATAGCAAGGTCTACGTGACAGAGCAGTTTGATGACAGAACTACTACACCTAAGAAATGAGCTAGGTCACAATCTTCCCTCTCTAGACTGTGCTCTGAAAACACTGACAAAACCTAATTTTCTGAGGAGGCCAGGTAACATCTTCGAAGAAAAGAATTACGAAGGAGTAAGAATAATCTCTTTTATAAATATTAATAAAAAAAACCCAACAACAAAAAAAAACACGTCAATACATAGAATTTTTGTATGGCTTCTATTGTTCTACTCCTTTTTCATGCTTACAGCCTTCAGGCTATCTGCAACCCTCCCCCCACCACCACAACAGCAAAGCACAAAAACACAAGGGAGAGCTCTTTTTTTCATTTCTCTTTTGATGTGGCAAAGAGCCTTCTGCTTCAGCAAAGTCTTTTCAACTGGTCTAAGGTATCCAATCATTTACAATATAATGAACATTGGTTTTAAGGGATATGGATGAGTTTTCCTAAAATATGACTACATGACATTTAGAGAAAATTTGCCTACTTCTCTCTGCTGTTATTCTCCTTCCAGAGAAGACTAGTCTTCTTAGTAGGAATCATTATCTGTATGCACTAGAGATAAGAAAGCTTGCAAGACAGCTTGCAACTGCAGGCTACATAAATTTCAGATAAAATCAACAGGTTTTTTTCTGTACATTATGTGCAATTTTCCTGCTTTACTAGAATACAAAATACTAATGCTAGTGTAAGCCATTTCCTAGTAAACATCCTCTAGGTATGTATCTTAGAATTCGCATAACAAAAAATCATATCGGTTCTTTTTTTGGTGGAAAAGACTCTCAAATATCAATGTCCAGATTTCTCAGTTACGTGGTAATATCAAATAAGCACCTTACCATAGAACCTGAGTACCATAATAGAAGAACTACACACTTAAAAAAAAAAAAAAAAAAAAAAAAAGAATACGAAAAGCCACATAACAGGATATAAAATAAATTGCTATTTTGCCAGAAACTTCTAGTTACCTAGAATCTCTGAATTACAGTAATACTATCAAAAGAATATCAAGGAATACTGTGACAATTCAGAAGCGCTTCAGACAGGAAATGATTTCTTTCTCATGAGAAAGTTTGCAGTGGCATCAATGATGCTTATGCTTGAAATTCAAGACGTAACAACATTAAAATTTTCAAGCACAAACATGAAAACTTCCAAGTTTTGCATATTATCCCTTTAAATTATCAAAGCTTTAATTGCTGTCTGCTGCACAACAGCCAAACAAACAAATCACCTAAAAGCTGTACTCTGCTTTTTTCAAGTACAGTCAAAGCAAAATGATATTTCCAAATAAACAATACTGACAATTAATTTCTTTACTCAGACTGCAAAGGAATCCAATGTCTTTAAATTCATTTTGCATATTGATACATGAAACACCTCCTTGCCTAAATAAAAGTGTAAGTAACAGATACTACTATATCGAGGCAGGAAGGGAGTTTGCTTATCCTATTTTCAAGTGACAAAAAAAACAAGGTACAGTCTAATTAATTTCATCATCATTCATACTTTATAAACAAGAAAAGATCAGAACTGCCAGTAAGGGCCAGAACAGGTCAGATTACCCATGTGAACTACTTATTCCACACTCACGCATGCAAGGCCACCACTGACGACAACCCTGCTTTATATTAGATGAGACAGATCAGAGAAAAATTCCCAGTAGTTATACAGCTTGTTCCTTTTGCACACATAACTTTGTAAGAAATACTACATGTTGTATTCCTTTCCTTTGCAGACAAATACATTTCAACTGAGATGTTTAATAGCTTTTATTCAGCTCCTCCAAAAAAAAAAAAAAAGTTATCTTTTTCATATCCTTCAGGCACATGAAAACAACATATTTCTTTTCTTCCCACCCCAAATATATAACATTTTAAAAAATTATGTCAGTGTTAAACTGCGAGTCCACTCTCAGGTCAGACCACAAAAAGCCAGTATGAAAAAGCAGAATTCATTTTCCAGAAAGGAAAGGAATGGTAAGAATGTGGAAATATTGAAGCACAGTCCGACTGCAGAGACAGCCGGCTTTTTTTGGTTTTTTTTTTTTTTGTTTTTTTATTTTTTGTTTTTTTTCTGCATGCCTCTGAAATGCTTTTCGGCAAGGCCTGCCCTCATACACTGCCCTTCCTGTACATTACGATCTCCTTCTGCCTGGAGGACTTCTCCCTCATCCCACTGGAACTGTTCCTGCTTCTTGAGAGTCTGCAGTACTACAGTTCCCCAACAGTTTAAATTCATGCTCTGTTATGATCCTTTTTTCTGCTTCTTGAACCACTATATGAAACCTTGACGACAAACTGGACGCACTAACTGACAGGGCAGTCTGAGGAAACAGGGAAAAACAAAAGATCAACCACTGCCCCACTAAGCCTTCCTGTTTTCCATCAGTTTCCACGTAAGACACAGAAAAAGTTTATGTTAATTTGTCTGTCCAACTTTTAACTCAGAGCACCAACATACGAGGCCATAAACATACACAGTCAATTTTTATACAAAACTTAAGAAAAAAATAGATTGCAGGTGATTGTTTCAATGGAAAGGGCTCTATTATTGGAACTGGACTGCTGCAAGGACTCAGGACCTCAGCAAATCAGAATTACAGTTCTAAATTACATTATATGACTAATGAAGATTTGTCAGATACTAGGGAAAGGAAGAAGAAAAAATGCATTTCATGAAAAATTATAATACGAAGGTGAGGACTGGACAGACTCAGTACTCAAAATACACTAGCTGAAGTTTAGGATGTGGTTGTGGTCTAGCATTCCATGAAGCTGGAGGAAGACGGGCACAAAAAATAAAGGACAAAAAAAAAATAAAAAAAAAAAGATCTCCAGCAAAAAAAATCTCCCTTCTCAACACTAAGTACGAAAGCTCTGTTCTTTGTGCAGTGATTATATCCACAGCTTGTTTTTTTACTTGTGGCACAACTGCATAAATATTTACTGTCTTTTCATAATATCTAAAACCTGTTTAGAGAATCTTAGGTAATAAAATACTGTGTGACTGGGCTAACTTATGCATAAAGGCAACAAAAGCAGCATTTTTACTGTGTGACAGGTAACAGTCTCCAGACAGTTATTGTGGAGGGTAGAGTACCCCCCAACACTTCATGATGCTTCAGAATTATTTGTCCATTAACTATACTTTTCAAATTGGCTATGCAAGATGACAACTCTCTGCTTTGTAGGGCCAACATCAGTAAAATCACCACAAATGGAACAAAGCACACAGCTGAGATGAGAAAAGCAGCAAAAACAAAAGGAAGGAAGGAACCAGTCTCAGTGGCATGCATGCAAATTGCAACAGGCTGTTTGCAAGAATACTTGAAAGAGCAGAACCTTTAATAAGGTTTTGTCACTTCCTTCACTCATTTTTCTCCACCTGGCTGGCAGCACTGCTATCTTCTCCTTGGATAACCATACCACAAGTTATTTTACATGCTTTCCAAGACAGCAGCAGACTACATACAGCAAACAAACAGGATTCAGACTCTCAGGCAACCAGGAGTTTTATTCAGTGATTTAGATTTGGGAATATTTTTATTTGTCACTAGACTCTCCTCACTAAAATCTCAAGAGTTACTCTGCACCTTCGTTAGGCACTCCAATAGCTGAATAAGGAAATGACAAGGCTTCTACGTTACTGGCTGTGGTGCTTCATACAGACTGCAAGCTCAGCTCCACCACACTGCTCTCTCACTTCTCAAAAGAGCCAGGGGAAATAATACAATGAAGAACAGGCAAACAGATTGAAATAAAGACGGGGATACGCGCATTTACCATCACAGGCCATACACTCAGTTTAGGGAGGTTGATATAATTTATTGTCAATTAATAACAGAACAGAGCTGTGGGAACTAAAAACAAATTAAAAGCATCCTCCCCCCAACCATTCCCTTCTGCATCCTCCCCCAGGCAGCACACGGGAACATGCAATGGGCACTGTGCTCAGCCCATAGCACTCCACCTGCATCACTCCTGCTCAGCCTCCCCACGCTCCGACACGGCTCCCTGCCATGGGCACCTCCACCCCTTGTGCAGCAGTGGCTCCCCTGGCCCTCCCACCCCACCACAGGTCACTCCCCATGGACATCTGATTAAGACAGTGAACAGATAGGCCTGCTGATGAAAAAACAGCACTAGGGAGCATTTGTGATAAACCTAACATTCAACACATAAAATGAAGGCCTAACACAGTTAAGCCTAAACCAACAGTTTTTTGAGTTTTCACTTACTTAATTGTTTTTTATTTAAAAGTAATGCTTACCACTGATACTTCATATTATTTTTCTCAAAATACAAGCTATTAGTCAGTGCAAAACTGCGAGAGTAAGA